CAGGAAATAGTTTGCTCATTGCGAAACAAATTGTGAAACAAATTGTTTCGTAGCACTACAAAATATCCGGCAAAATGTTTCGCTACCCACAACTATTTACACAGAGAGATGGGGGGTAACTCTACCAGTGGTCTGATGATGTACTAATTGAAGTTCATCGTCATTTTGCGGTTAGCAAATAAAATTATAGGGGAGGGGTTTTGCCTAGGTGAATACTCAGTCTCTGTGTGGATATCACTTCATCAGGAGGTCTATCCTATCCTATCTGTGTTCTGAAGTTTAGGTTACAGATAGAACAGAACCAAAGTTTGCGAAATCTGTCGTCTAATCTTAACTGTAAACTCCAACACGAGAGTCACGGAGAAAACTCGATCAAGCAGTAGGAGTGCTACTTGACGGGCTCGTCGCCAACTCGTTCCATTCCAGCGTCATCGCGACGACCCAGCGATGGAGAGTGGTCATAGAGATGTGCATTTCCGAAGAAGGTTAGTTCACTAGGCCAGCACCTTCTTCGACGATGGGTTGTATCGACCCTACCATGTCTGACGTGGTGTCCAGGTGTGTCTTTCCCTACAGGGTTGCGTGTGGTCCAAGCAGGACCTGATGGCGTCACGGTCATGGTGAATACATCCACATAGCGGAGCTCCTGCATCCATTAGATTAAAAAAGTGTTTCAGGCCCTTGGCCATCGCGTTTTCACCCGCCACCGGTCCAACGAACAGTCGCGAATGGACAATTGCCTCGTCGAACGATATTGAATCGGCGGCACCAAACTGCCACCACCCACGCCATTGGGTTGCCCACCACCATGGACCTGGCGCAGGTGGAAACGAGAAGAGATATGCGCTACCTTGTCGCACGGTGGGAGGTCAGTCGTCTGCCAAGTGCACCGGTCTGAACATGAGCGCGAGTTGCCCGTGTGCTTCAAAATGTCTGGATCATGCATGCGACAGCACCAGTTGGACAGAATGAGTGACGAAACACAGGGAGTCCACAATGCTCCGCGTACTTTTTTCGATGCAGGTCGTCGAGCAGGGGTCAGCCCTTTCCACCAGTCTCCGCACTCCAATCATGACGTTCCATACACCGGGTTGGCTTCTGGCGCACGGTTCTATATGTGTGCTCTTGGCCACCGTATCATTTCACGCCGCTTGTCTTCGCTCGAGATCTCGCGCATCCGCTGGTTACACGTCGTCGATATAAATATACATGGCGTCACCGCCACAAACCTCAATTCTGTTGCATCGTGTGTGTAAAAATGGTGTCCCCACCAGCCAGAGGCCAGACAGAGGTCTGCTTGAAATATTCGGAATCTGTGGTGCCAGCTCCGCCATCGATGCGGTAAGCACTTGAGCAAGGCATCCCAACTCGCTTCTACTCCAAGCACGCGCGATTGCCACGCACACGGCAAGCCCTCGGCTGCGATCCCAGTCAAGAATGTTAAAGCGTCGCAACACTTCATGGCAATTCAGCCTCGTGCTGAATCTGGGGGTCTTAATTGACAAAATGTATGCATTTTTGTCTTACTACAATATAATCTTGCTCACATAGACCTTATCGATACAAAATACCTGGAAGATTGTTTTGTCATGGGTACGTAAATGTAGTAAATATATGCAATTACGAAGTTGCAGTTGTACATGCCGACTGTTCGTATCTAAGTGTTGTGGAATCTCGCCAGGGGGATGGATGGTCGGCAGCAGCAGGCTCCAGCGCGACGCTGAGTTGTTTACTCGTCATTCCATCGATCCATGGCCACGATGCCTGGTTTGCCGACTGACTCGCATCGTCGCAGCTGTCTCAAACGCAAGCGATCCCTTGAGCTGTCCACAAAACAAGTCCAATTCTCGGTCGCGACGGTGTTTACGTTTCGAGTGGGGATCGGCGGCGGATCCGTGCCAAGCGATAGCATCCCAGGCGTGAGTTTGGCTGGTCAACCGATTGAAGTTGTCACCAAAAGCGTCCGCAGCGACGGCCCGGGTCGAGTCATGATGTATTCTCGTAGCGATCGGCTCAATATCCTCCAACGATCCGGCGTCAACTCAAAACAACTTGCCCATGAGTTCGTCGAACTGCAGCATATTCAGGTGTCGCGAATGACCCACGCCCGAGAGCACGTGGAACTCAAGCGGCGGAAGGTCCAGATGGCCCAAGAATCACGCACGCAAATGCAATTGCAGCGTTTGCTGAGTTAGTCCACAGCGCGATCTCCCAACGCACGTGAATGCAAATGTGCCCGACATGTTTTACACGCGCCCCTTCGCTTCGTCCCGCTGCTCGGAAACCCATCCCTCCACTACCGTCGACACTTTTAAGTCGAGCAACGAAACGAGCCGACCGCCGACTCTTGTTGTCTCGGCAGCCAGCGCAACGACATCGCAGCTATTAGGAGACATTACATACCATGCGCATGTCGTCGACAAGTGGCAGGATGCATGGGGCGATGGAAATCGTGACGAATGCAGGGGTCACGTAAGAGTAGTTCGTAGCGAAGTACAATGTCTTGGCCATTCTGGTCATGCGGCGCATGCATCCAGTTGCACAGTTCAAACGGAGAAACGACGCCGTGGTCGTTGGGATGCTGCCGTACGACTCAAACCAGAAGCAGCTTTGCGCTAAAGAGCGAGGGATGCATGGAGGCGTCGAGCGCATTCCATGAAAGCTGAATTCTACTAATGGTTATCTCGACAACGAGAGCCCCTATTTCCACGTGTCGACCGACGCGGTGTTTGTCTGTGCGGCATATCTGCATCATTCGTACACATCACGGCCGCCACGTCGAAGCAAGACAGAGCGTTCCGGACGGACAAAGAAAGCCGCATTACAAAGAAACCCCACCGGCGTGACCCAAAGCCTAGGCACGTGATCCCGCGGCCCCCGTGACGTTCATCCCGACGTCGACGGTATCGTGCACGGTCGTTTGGCGCTTCTCTGTTGAATAGCAAACTCCTCGGCGATATCGTGCCGCTTCGCCATGTACTTGGCGAATCGGCCGTGGGGCGGTTGGACCGCCTCAAGGACACAAATCCGGCGGGACACTTGGATTTTGTTCTGGTGCATGCACAGCGCCAGCACATCTTGAGGTGTCAACCCTTGTCGTTTCAGCAGCAGGATACGGTCGTGGGCAGTGTACTTCATGACGCGTTTATCTGTTGTCGTGTCGTCGATCACAAAAGACGTCGTTCGAGTCACGGGGTGGCCGGTCAAGCCGACACCTGGGGCTTGGTCACTTGGTACGACACTACAACTCAAGCCAACGTGGAACTCGAGGATGGTCACCGTGCTGAAGCGAACGGTCTTGGCCGGTCGTGTCACGGCGACCCGGTGCTGGAACTTGGGGTGGCAGCCCATTGGCGGCTTGTACGACAAGGCATTGTGCGAAAGGAGCAGTGGAGTCATGGCCGAGCTCTTCGTGACACAGGGCATCGTGAGGACGCCAGGTATCAAGTGCACAAGTGCGGCGTCGGTCCGCAGACTATCGGGTAGTGTGGGCTCGCCCGAGCATCGCCGCGGTTGCGAAGACCACGTTGAGGGTTTCGTTGGGATGTCAATCCGCTCTCGAGTTGCCCCAAGTCGACAATAAAATTAGCAATATCCAAGTATACTTCATCTTGTTCCATACGATGACGTGAACTCAAGAACTCCAGTTGGTGGCGAAACCTTCCAAACTAGAATATGTGTATCGAATTTTACGATCAAATCACAAACTTATGCAGTTCGACACCCCACATAAAAATCGCGCCCCGACCCAGTGGATTTAGAATCAAGTGACTTGCCATGTCCATGGGACAAGGCCGAGAAATCCACCCACGGCCGGCGGTAGTGGAGGCCGCGGAAGGATAAAGAGCGAAGACGAACGATTCCAGAGAGAAGGTTACGGGGCGGCCAGGTCGTTGAGCATAGCAACGGACGCAATTTCCGTGCAGAATGCAAGGAACTCGTCCAGGCTCATTCCGTCCGCATCGTCCGTGGCCATGCCGACGAATGCTTTCCCAAAAGCCTGGACACGACAGATGTGAGAGCCAACATGTAGACAGATGAGGGATAAAAGAGGCAGGGACTCTTTCCAAGCCTACACACCTCGTTCTCGAGCAGCGGTCGGAGTCCTCTGGACCGAAGTACAAACTCCCTCACCCGTTCGTTGTGGTCAAGCGCGTTCATCATTTCATGCTGTTCGATCTTGCCGCTTCGGTCAGTGTCAACGAGAGCAAACACAATCTACTCGCGATGGATACCAAATTCCTGTCACCGATCGCTCCCCGTCTTGGCGATGCCACCCTACCTTGGCGATAGCCGCTTCTTGCTCTAGGATCGCCTTCCGCGCCGCGTACGCTTCGTTCTTGCGCCGAATGATGTCGTCCTTGGTCTGGATTTTTTCCACGACTCCGCCATTCTCCAGGATCTTTCTGTCGCGGTCGGCCATGATCCCGTCAAACTTGTCATGGCAGTACGTTGCAAAGCGATCCCACGAGATGCTGTTGGAGTTGTCGTGATCGATCTCGGCAAACACACCGTCGACACTGCGCTTCTTGAGGACGTCCTTGAGCACGACCGACGTCATCGCGACGTTGCGAACGTACGCGTCTTTGGTCAGCGCCCACACCTACGACGCCGACGTGAGTCTGGCACGGACGCCACGACCAAGCAGTACGATTCGTTACCATTTCATTCTTATCCAGCGTTCCGCCGCGGTCCGAGTCGACCAGGCGAAACACCTCAGCGAGAATGCCTACACGACAGCAGGCACCACAACGTCGTCACTCGTGTGCACGCGATGGAAGGGGGCGTCGCCGAGCTGTCCCCGCACATCAAATGGAGTGTGTGCCGGTGGAGGTCCAGGACGCTTCCCGCCATGCATCCCATGGAACGTACGTTCTTCATCGACGAAGCGCGGGTCGACCGGAGGGCCTGCCGCGGTATTCACAATCTCACTCGCACCGTCTTCGTTGTTGCCGATGGTTTCCTTTGACGGCGTACTCGGCTCCTTGTGCAATGGCTTCAAGTTGCCTTTCTTGGCGTTGCGTTTTCCACTCGCGAGGGTTGTATGGTTGACAGCATCTCGCTTGGCCTGCTTGCCCACAGAGTTTACGGAAGTGCGGAGCGTCATCCAAGCAAGCGCTTACGTTGCGTACGATGAAAGGCAGGCCGTTGGCGCTGGCGGGAACGTTGGGGTTGCGAACATGGGGCGTCGTCTAGAACTCGGCAGTCACGTGTGGCTCGATCGCATCTCGACGGAAAAGCAGGAAACGTTTGACGTACGAAGCGTACCGTGGACGGCGACACCATCGCTGGGCGAGGCGCCAGCGACACATGCTCCACACGAGGTTTCTCCAAGTGGTAGCACGACTCGGGCTGCGAAATGTCGAGTTTTCCATTGCGACCGACCTGAAGCACGGATCATGCGTGACGTGTTGCGACGTGGGCGATGCCAACCGTGTGCGCGCTGCTTGCGGTGTGGAAGATGTACTTTGGGTGAGCACGGTGACGAGGGTCGACCACGACGTCCAGAATGTACTGGCACGTAGGCGGCGTGGCGTGCGAATGCCGTGCCTTGGGAGGGAGTCGCGCGGATGGAGGCGCCGTGTCGGCCCGCACGATTTGGTCAAATGTCGTTTGGGTTGGCCATGTATATTGGAGAATGTCGTCGGACGATGTTGCCCGCTTGAAGAGCTATCAAGGGAACGGCGTCGGTCAGACGTGTCGACGGTGATGTGGCGGTCCATGAACTCTCTACACGAAGGTACTGCTTTCGATCGCGGCATTCTTGCTGGATGCGGTGCGCGGTGGCGTCTTTCCCAGCTCGAGCCGCCTCTGCCGCCCATTTTGCGTGCAACTGAGCCGCACACACGTCCTAGCTCGGTTGGGCTCCGTGAAGATGGCAAACCACACGACGGTCTGGAAGAGCGTTACCTGCATGTACTGCCGCGACGCTCGGTCTTCTTCGATCATGTGCTGCTGACACCTGCGCAACCCATGCTTGACATCGTCCGCCTCGTTCGTTGTACCATTTCTCGTCGTTCTCTTGCTTCTGGACGCCCCAAAACGTATCTGATTTGCATTGAAGCAGCTCTTGCAACTGCATGGCCGCCCGCTCGCGGGTTTCGAATGCAAAGTCTTCGCTCCGCCGTCGCCGTTCCGCCTCATCCATCGCACGCCGTTGGGTTTCTTCGCGTTTTCGAGCCGATTCCTACATACATCAACGAGTCGCGCGGCGTCGCGTTTGTGCTCGTACGTGTAAATTGCGACGGATGTCTTCAGCTTGTCGCATCCGTTGTTCCTCGACGAGCTGCCGCCGAATTTCACGCGTCGTCTAGATTTCGCCAGGAACTGTCTGAAAAATCCTTGACACGGTGATCTGCACCTGGTCAATGCCCCAAAAACGATCGCCCAAACCACATTGCTGTCTTTCCGCGTGCATCATGCAGCGCCGGTCGTCGGCTTCACGCTGGGCTTCTGCCTCCTAGTTTCCCAAGCCGATGACGTCCTTCCCCGTCATGGGGGGGGTTGGGTCTTTCTACCTTGGTCAGCGCTGGCTTGTTCACTCGAGGGGGCGTGCGGAGCGCATGCGTCAGTGGCGGTCGCTCCAAGCTCTCTGGTACTGCCTCTTCCCTTGTGGAGGGCTGCTCCTCAACCACGGTTTGATTCATCACGGGGGACCTATCTTGACTAAATAGCGCTGCCTCCGCTTTTGTTTGGCGCTGCTTCGACACGCGGCGGCGAGCGAGGGCACATCGAAATGCACATTGCATGACGAGCAGCACCGTGAAGAGGGGGTCGACATCTCGGAAATCCGCGGGGGTGCGCGTCGTGATGTACCCGTGGTGGACTTCATAAAAGTAGTCGTATTTACGGACTGGATCGAATGATTGGACCCATTCTTCGTCCGTCATGCCGTCGGCGATCCTGTTCGTTTGGTCGCTCAAGTCATTGGCGTTCAACAAGAGCTGCGACCGAATCTGCATCACGCGCGAGACAGTTGTCGAGTCCAGCACAAAGCTGTGGCACCGCTACGTGCATCGTTTGTGAGCTTCTACACACACGAAGTTGTAGGCCTCGCAAGTACCTTGAGCGGCTTGGTCGATTCGTCTAGCGATGGTGTGTCGTGCGCCTCGATAGAGACTGCGTTCTCGACAGGGTCGCGTTGAAGCATGGTGCGGTCGACGACAAGGGGAAGCAAGTCCTCCTCGCCGAGGGGGCGGTCGACGGCGACTTGGTCTGTCGTGGTGGTCGGGAGCTCCCACGTCGATTCCCCAGTCGTTTTGTGCATAAAGAACGTCCGACCGAACTCGTCGGCGCACTCTTCCCACTCCCCCGTCGGATCCATCGGTCGGGCGCTTTTTCGTAACTGGATGTAAATGGCAGTTTGTAACTGCCATTTCTCAGTCCAAATGGGACGACCGCCTCGACACCAACCAGGCATTGCGCCGTGTGCCGTGATGGTGCGCGGAAGAAGCAAAGGTGGTGGTGGGGTGGAGTTGCGCCGCCATGCACGCTTCCGTTCGACCACACACACACTGTATCGAGGCGAGGACGATAAACGCATTGCAATACACATGTCCGCACAACGGCTCGCCCAGTGGCTGCTCGACGACATGCTACCCGTGACGGGCCATGTCGCGGCTCTCTGCAGACCGCATGTCCTGGCTTTGCGTAGATCGGGTGTCACTTCACCGACGGTTCTCCTAGAGTTCAAGCGATGGTGTAGAGGCCCGAGGGTCTTTCCCGCACATGCTGTGGGCTCCTTCACGTCCGAGCGGGCTCGTTGTGAGCCACGGATGAAGGCCACGGGACACTACCGATAAAGTTGGCGTCGCAAAGGACTGCAGGTGCCACACGCATGTCAACGCAAGGATGGTGCACTGAACGAAATTCTCTTTGTTCACGTTCTGGATCACTGCGGTGTGGATAATGACTCGCTGAACCAACTACACATTGCACTCACAAACACAACAAACGATTCGGGCACTAGACGGCGGTCACACTCGACGCAAGACGCGTCTGGCGAAGGGCGAACGGCTGGTGCGGCAGCACCATCGTCATGTTGTTCTGGCCGGGTGATGCCATCGCGTCGGCGACCTGGGCCAGAGTGTCACGGAATACGCTGAGCAACTCGAGCTTGCGCTTTTCGCAGTCGCACACGACCACGTACGACTTGCCGTGGCCGTTGATCGAATAGCTTCCGCCGTGCCCACCGTCCGTTCTACAACGACGATTCTGAGCCACACAGCAGTCACAACCAACCACTTGCGAGGCGGTTCGATACTTGCAGCGCAGCACAAAACACTTGGCCCGACTCCACTTGGGAAACTCCATCGCGCTGATTTCGTCGACCGTCAACAGTATTAGCGGCAGCACTTTGCACACCTACACAAGGCGCATCGGTCGTGAGTGCGTCGGTGGTGTGGTACATGGCATGTGCCCACTCGTGCACTTCCATGACTTGCCTGCAATCGCTTGTGGCGGCGGCGCTTTGTGATTAGCAACACATCCGAGAGCAGCACGAGCGTCTGCGGTCTGGTCGTAAGCATCGTCCACGGCACCATGCGGACCTGCGTCGCCACATGGACCGCCGCTTCCATGACGTACTGGCGCGTCGGCACCATCACTTCGGGACATCCAAACCCGAGTTGGAGCTTGCGCCGAAGACGTAGAAACTTGGCGTTGTTTTGATCGGCCTGGACTCGATCGTTGACAGTTGCGGCCACGACTTTCGTCGCATGGAGGAGGTCCTGGAGGGTGTGTTGGAGCGCTTCGGGGGCGTGGTGGCGCAGCTCCGACATGAGCAACGGGTACCGACACAGCCGTTGAACAGGCTTGATCATTTCGGACTGCAGGTCCACCTGGAGCAGTTGGGCGGCGGCACAAATCGCCGCGACAAACTGCTGGAGCTCCGTCGTCACGATGCGCTTGCGCACGCGAAGCATGGTGCTCACGTCCGTGTACGCGAGACAGTACTGCGCATACAGCTTAAAGTACGGGAGGTGCGTTTGGAACACTCGCGCAAGATGGAGCGTGTCTTGCGACAGGTGAAGCATGTCGGCGGGGCGACGGATACCGTCACAAATGTCCATGTGCAGCGTCAGCAACGATGCCGTCGCCGACCGCAGCGCGAGAAGCGACGGATGCGAGTACTTGTGCTTGTCATGGAAGACGTGGTTGAACACTTGATGGAGCGTCTGCAACGTCTCGACGAACGTCACTTCCGTGTCGACGATTTCCGTGACGATGCAAAACCAAGGATAATGCGGGTTCCAGTCCACGGACGTTGGTTGCAACTCTTCGTCTAGGAGGACCGTGCTGCGCAGCGACGAGGGGGCAGCGCCCGGCGGCGCTTCGGGCTCCGAGTGCAATGTAGAAGGAGCCGTAGGTGCCAAGCGGATGGTGGGACCGTGGTATAGAGGCCGATGGCTTTCGTCGAGAAGAAGGCGATGCTTGGAGAACCGGCGCACGAGCAGCGACTTGAACATGTGCTTGGACGACGATAGCGACGACGACGGGCTGGCGGTCGAATCGTCGACAGCACCATCGTCCGACGACGGGTTCGAGTCGATGGAGCTGCGTTTGCCAAAGAAGTGCAGCATGTCTGCGGTCCATGCGAGGGGGGACGACCCTGACCGCGAAGGTCGGTGCGGCGAGTCGACCATCATGGCTCGCTCGATGCGAATCGTTTGTGTGAATGCACGGGATTCAATCGAGGCAAAGTAAATTTAGTTGCGGAAGGAGCACGCACATGTCGTGCCGACGCACGGCGTCGCGTTTTCTGACCGGCAGCCCCGATTGGATGCTAAATATACTGTCGGCGCATGTGAAGATTGCTTTGCAATTGCGCACAATGGCGACCTTTTATCGCGGGAGATGATGCGAGTAGGACCGTAGGGTGACACCCAGCTGCCGTGGGCAGTTCGATCTGCATGCGCTTGGGGACACCGCCACCCTCATGTTTGCAGCGATGGCTGACACGTCGGCTGCTGAGATTTTTGCACAGGCACCTTGTCAACGCACGGTGGGCCAACCACTTGCGCACCCACCACAGATCGACCTCCAACGCCGTAGAGGCCTCACGCGGTTGCCAATCTTTCAACTCCCATACCCAAGGTCGAACAGTGGAGCAGGGAGGAGCGTTGCTAGTCGGCTCCACTGCACATTTAGTTGGCTGCACCCCACTACGGCGTCGCACACCTGTCTTGCTCCTTGACGCATCGGCTGCGCAAGGACCACATGCCGTCCCGGGAGACCTCCACGGAAATATTCTTGTGGACATTCCATGTGCATGCGCCGGGGCGCGGCGCTCCAATGCGCCCATGATGTTGAAGTTCGTGCGATTCAATACCAACTCTTTGGTGCACCCTTCCACGCATCTTGTAATTTGTATGGAATTTTATTCCGATTTGTCAATTGTTCAAGGCCAAGCCGAACCACTCGGCAAAGTATTGACGACCAAACCAAATCTTGCTTTTTGTATACATTCGTTAAAGTACTTTTGCAACGTCACACGTCGAACCAGAACTACTTGAAAAAAGTATATATGATCCGAAGTGTACTTTATGGAAGGATTCGACCCACACCTGCCCGATCTTGAAAGTTTTATGGGGACTTGGCAAAAGGACTTACATGAAGGGCAGTGGATCTATGAGTTCTCCAACGGGGCGCGGCGCTCCGCTGTCGACAACCATGGATCAAGATCGCATTTTGGAATTGGACGACGAGAGGACAGACCATCGACGAAGATGTGCGGCATCGTAGCAATCTATGCGTCCATGCTCAACAACGACGAGCTCCGGAAAGCTATTCTAGACGCAGGGAAAAAGTACGTTGCAAGTGGGGTACATACCCCATCCGCGTTCAAGGGTGACGGGTGTGTCTGTGCATAGGATCCGACATCGCGGTCCTGACTGGAACGGTGTGCGAATCCTTCCCAAAGGTATCGCAATTGAACACGAACGTTTGGCGATCATCGACCCTGAATCGGGCGCGCAACCCCTCATCAGCAACGACGGCACCATTACGTTGGCCGTGAACGGCGAGGTTTACAACTACAGGGAACTCAGCGCGACGCTTCAGACCCCATATGTGTTCAAGACCAAGTCCGATTGCGAAGTCATTATCCCCCTCTACAAGCAGCATGGCAGGGCGTTTTTACGCCATCTTCGTGGCATGTTCTCGTTCGTCTTGTACGATTCCGCCAAGGACGTGCTGATTGCTGCCCGCGATCACATGGGGATCACACCGCTGTACTATGGGTACGGTGCTGACGGCAGTGTCTGGTTTGCATCCGAGATGAAAGCATTGGCGGTACGGTTTCACATGCATTCGAATCGTTTCGTCACGATCTACTTAGCATGGCTGCGTTCGATTCGATTTGTTTCCTCCTGGACATGTCTTCACCAGCACGACCGGCGAATTTACGCGATGGTACAACCCTGGCTGGATGGAATCTGGTCACATCGGCAAGACACCCCTCAACTTGGCGACGTTGCGCGATGCCTTTGAGACTGCCGTGACAAAGCGCATGATGTCAGATGTGCCGTGGGGTGTACTCTTGTCGGGCGGATTGGACTCGTCGCTCGTGGCGTCGATTGCTTGCCGCCACCAAAAGAAGCTTTTTGAAGCTGGTTCGACTGATGAAATCCGCCAGGCTTTAGCTAAAGCAACGTCGTTGGTGTTTGTAGGAGCGGATACTGAGTGGAGCCCTCGGCTGCATTCATTCACGATTGGTCTGGAAAACTCGCCCGATTTGGCAGCGGCCAAGGAAGTCGCCAAGTATCTCGGCACGATCCATCACTCGTACACATACACGATTCAAGAAGGCATCGATGCAGTCTCGGATGTGATTTACCACGTACGTCCTTTGTGCCTTGAGTCCAAGGCAACTACTGACGTCGGCGCAGCTCGAAACGTACGACGTCACGACGATTCGTGCGTCGACTCCGATGTTCCTCATGAGCCGCAAGATCAAAGCGATGGGCATCAAGATGGTGCTGTCCGGCGAAGGCGCCGACGAAGTATTCGGGGGGTACTTGTACTTTCACAAGGCGCCGAACGCCCAAGCTTTCCACGACGAAACAGTGAACAAGTTGAAGGTGCTTGTCTATCCAATTATGTCAAAGTTGTCTCATGGCGCATGCAATCCGTCAACGTGTGTTCTTGCTATGCATGGATGAAGCGCCATTTTCTCACCTTGTGATATCTCTTCTAGGGTCTCCACCAGTACGATTGTCTGCGAGCGAACAAGTCGACGAGTGCATGGGGCGTGGAAGCGCGCGTGCCGTTTTTAGACGCCGACTTCCTCGAAGTCGCCATGAACTTGGACTCAACCGAGAAAATGGTACCACTCGATCGTGCCATGGGTTGTCATTCACGCTCGTGTTTCCAGTGCGATCGCCAAAGTGGCCGCATGGAAAAGTACATTATTCGCAAAGCGTTCGACACGCCGGAGAACCCGTACTTGCCAAACAACATTTTGTGGCGCCAGAAGGAGCAGTTTTCGGATGGCGTCGGGTACGGCTGGATCGATGCGCTCAAGGACTGGGCTGAGCGCGATATCTCGGACCGACAAATGAAGCACGCGGAGCTGCTCTTCCCGTACAACACGCCTCAGACCAAGGAAGCGTACTTGTATCGCAGGTGTGATGGTCGACAACGATGCTCCAACGACATCGACGCTGGTTTTTTGTATTGGTAGCATCTTTTCCAAGCACTTTGAAAAGGAAGTCGCTGCGCAAACCGTGCCTGGCGGTCCAAGCATTGCGTGCAGCACGGCGGCGGCAATTGAATGGGACGCGTCGTTCAAGAACGCAGCCGATCCATCGGGACGAGCCATCGCCGGCGTCCACGTCGACGCTTACAAAGCCCCGACGCACTAGGCGACTGTCTATCATTCCGCTCGTTGCGAGCCTCTTCATAAACACCCCTTCGATTCCATTCATGGTCTGAAGAGAGAGGCTGGCTTGGGAGCGCCATCCATTCGATCCCACGTGAATGATCCCTCCCGTATACATGCAACTCATTGATGTGATCGCCAACATGGTCCAGAACAGGAGTCTCTCACGTAAACCCGACCATAATCCCTCGATTATGTCGCAATGTCTCGGTCACTCGCAACTGCGCTGACCTCCACGGAGTCCCAGCGCCAGGGTGGGTCGTTCAGGCAATCGTTCTACGAGAATGTCGTACAAAGCAAAGTGCATTCGTCACCGTCGATTCGCGACGTGAACTTTTACCCATCTTGGTCTACTCGGACTTGAGCTTGTTTTTTTCAGCTTCGGTCAGCGTCTTTCGCTTGACGCGGCTGTACGCGCTGATCGAGTCGTCGAGAATGTAGTCAATCAAGACACCGACCCACGACGACGTTTGCGGCAACGTGTCGTAGAACTCGGGCGCCATCGCCTTCACGTCGGGCAAGCGGCTACCAGGGACAAAAGGAAAGTCGTGGTGTTCGTTGTGGTAGCCCACGTTGAACGTGACCAAGTTGAGCAGACCATAGTACGAGTACGTTTCCGCGCCCTTGACAAACACGTAATGTTCCGAGATGAAATGGCCAGCGCAAGGGTGGGGACCGGCGCCCAAGACCGTGCTGGCAAGGCAGTAGCCAAGACCAGCGCCGCCGCAAAAGTAGTAGATGGCGTAGTTGTACGCAATGCACGTCGCGTAGTTGATGAATTCCCACAGGCCAGGAGTCTTGGGGTTCACGAACAAAGGGCGCAAACTGTAGAAAAACGCTTGCGTGCACACAAAGATGAGCTTGGTGAACTTGTTGTTGAAAATCTTGCCCTCAAGTTGAGTCGGGATGTCGACGTCGACGCCGTCTTCGCCTTGGTAGCGATGATGTTCCATGTGGTAACGCTTGAACGAACTAAACACGTCATTCCGTGAGAACAGTATGCAAGCATCACGTACATTGCAGCGGGCACGCCCATCGGCATGTTGGCGATCAACGACAAGATGCGGTTGTACAAAGGTTTCTTGAACCCCAAGTTGTGCGACAACTCGTGCATGGCCATCATCATCATGTGGTTCAAAGTACCGCCAACAATGTACGCCACAGCAAACCACACTGCCCAGCTTTTGTCCTTGGTATAGTACGCCATGATAGTTTGCACGGTGACGGCAAACACAACGTAGTATTTCGTGCGGGGGCAGTGGCCAAAGAGCGACTTGATCTGCGGGTACTTGGCCGAGATTAGCTTTCGTCGGGTCGCATGAGGTTCATCGGTCTTTTCCCAGTAAAAGTCCGTGCGGGGTTCCACATGCGTCGATGACTGTGGCGCGTTGCCTCCCTTTCCCATCTTCGTCCCGCCGCCAAAAATCGACAATGAGGAATTTTGTCCCGGAAATATATTGGCTTCTTCGCTCAAATACGAATAGTTTGTCGCAGTGCTCTTCTAAGTACGTGAGCGTCAATCCAGTCACCTATATCATGGCATCTTTTCTGGAGTATGAAACTCTCAGCCTCTTTGAATTTAAATGTTTGATGGATGGAGAATGGGCGCACTTAACCACACCTTCCTTCGAGTCCCGCGAAGTGCGCATGGAAACTCCTGGAAGTACGTTTTGTCCGGGTTGACTGAAATTCTATATCGTTCATTTTGTTGATATAAAACGGCAAAATCATTTCCTATGAGTTTGGTTATGGAGTGTATGGTGCATGTGCCTAAAACTGTGCGGACTACTTTGTCAAAATATCTTGATGTGTAACCAAAGAGCGGATTCGATAACCCAATCAAAACGCCGCGCTCCTGGGTTTGTGCGAGCCATGGCAGCGTCCATGTGCTGGCGAATGCGTCGCATCCTTGTGCTCTTGGTTTGCACGATAGCAAGTGCAGTTTGTTCCGGTTAAAATTGTCGTATTGAGGCGGCTCTTGATCCCTCCAAGACATAGCCGCAAGCAGATGATTGGATAAAAGTGGTTTGAGCAGGATAACCCTGCCATAGAGGTGACACACACACGCATTCCAACACCGTGTTCCACTCGGCCGGCATACATCTTTTGCATGTCGCAAAGAGCCATCACCAACGCGATCGTAGTCTACGAAGTGGTGTGTCGTTCATTTTATCGTTTTATGGAGGTTGAGTCATATGTACCCGGATATCCGGATCTGGGCGATTTGTAAACCGCCAGTGGAAAGTTTTTGTCACTTAACAATTATGAGGCCTTGCCTAGAGCCGTTTGCGCAAAATTCCCACATCTCAGCTCTCGTCTTGGATTTCTCAAAGTGCTACGAATGGAGCGTTCGCGTTGCAACGGAGGTATCGAATTTTTGGCTATTCAAGATATGGTATTTTGCATGCAAATCCGATTGGTTTTCTGTCTCTCAACAATATGTGGGGTGAAATATTTTCCTGTCGACTCGAGCTCGTCGCTCGTGTACCTGCCATGTCCAGCGCGAAAGTGACATGCAATCGTTTCATAATCTACAGGTTCTGCCTCCACTTGTGGTGCTACTTGTCATTCCTCTGATTGGCAATTTCCACTTGACAATGACACTCTTCGCAACGGCACAACTCTCCGTGTCGTCGGCATGAAACTCGAATTCCCCTCGGTGAACATGCTTGCCGCAGCAGTATCCATTACGATGCAATCGTATGGGACACAGGTCGTTTGGTCTCGACAGGGCGCGCCCTTGCTGCGACGGCACGTTTGGTCGACGATTTCCAAGGAAATCGTCGGGAACATGCAGCACATTCCGGCGAAGGGTCGCGTTAAATTACTGTTTATAGTTGGACAAATACGACAAGTCGGAAAGTTGTCGAGGTGGTTGCGGCGGCGGGACGTCCGAGTGTGCCGCCGACAAATTCGACTTTGCAGAAACGGTGGAATGCCCCGATTGGTTCGACGACCGGTTGGACTTGCGGGACTTGGCCGATGTGGACGTATTCAAAGGCGATGATGCACCTGGTCCCCGTACCATAACTTCGTTCAAGTAGGACAAGTCGCACAAAGAATCGCTCTTGTGGTTTCGATTTCCAGCAGCTGCAGCGGCAGATTCTCCAAATGACACCACTTGGGGTATTGGGCGTGCTGATTGGATCGCCGAGAAGGTAGCAGAGCCAGTTGCGGTCGTCGACAAGGACGGTTTCGGAGTGAACACCCCATGGGCAGGGTTCTTCTCCCTTCGTCGGGGTGTCAAATATCCTCCCACGGCATCAGAAGTAAGACGCCGAGGGGTTGTTGTACGTTGGTGTGGATCTAAGACATTTTCCACCGACAAGTTGCGTTCCGGTGGGCGAAAGATTGAGCGGTGTTCAGAGCTCGGTGTTTGTACGCGGCTGTCGCGTCGGTCGAAGCTCATGGTGCGGCTCCCTCGGCTGTACTCGTCATACGACGACATGGTGGTCAAAGTGGAGGTGGGTTTAGCAGCGGCGGGAAAATGGAATCGATTGAAATTCAGCGATCCTTTCGCCGACAGCGGCTGCGCGGCGGCATGTTCGTTGGGAATGTTTGATTGATGATGATTCGCGTGGCGCTGTCAAGGCACGAAACCGTCAGTGTTGAAAAAAAATCGTCAAAAATTCGACAAAAAACATCGAAAAATACATCAAATTTCAATCGAATCCAAGCTAGCAGTACCTGGGAATCCAATCCATCGTAATGCGAATAGCTCTGATTGCTGACGCTGTGGATGGCGGACATGGCACTACTTCCTTCATACGGGGCAAACCGACCGCCACCGAACGCTGGATGCACGTCTCGGAGGCACGAGTGACACACGCGTTCACTGCCGCGGGTGTACCCGCCAGGTTTGTCTTCGCTGGAGCATCGCTTGCACACGATCTGCTCGCACATTCGGCACACGACCTTGCGCTGGAAGAGCGCCATGCCACCTTTGAAGCCGCGACTGCAGATCGCGCATGTGTCATTGTCCTGGAGAACGGATTGATGGTTCACCGTGGAACCGCTCCCGATCAAAGTGTGAATCTCTTCCATTCTTCGGATGCGGCGCTTCGTCAAAGACTGCAACAGCTTAGTTTGCGCCATCTTTCCCGGCGCACCGTAGTCAAAGTAGATTGTCACGCGGAGGACGCTCGGAATATCAGTCTCCGTGACGACATACCTAATCACGACAACTTGAGTCTGCAAGGCAATCGATTTGTCGACGCACCCAGAATGGTGGACAGTCGCGCGGACATAGTTGTTCGTGTGGGTAAGAGGAGGGCATGATGCATGCGGAACAGAGTGGGAACACATGGCAAAACCTCGCTTGCCGTTCTCGTCGATGTACTCGTCCAGGTACTGCGATAGTCGCAGTGAAAAGGATACAGGTGGGCGACGACGAAGAGTACCTCAATGGTGCAAAAGTCCCGATCCCGCAGCAGCATCCGCATGGGGGACTTGATGTGACTCCATCGCAATCCTGTGTAATGGAACGGCGACAACGCAGTGGGCATTTCAATCGCATGAAGCCGTGCCGTAGATTCGAGGCAATACAGTTCAGCTGCAATTTTGCGGTGTGCAGGGGAGTCCCCAGACGACACGAGTCGTACGCAAAAGTGAGCGATTTCTTCCAAGCTCCCCGCGATGCTGATCGTGGAACCGTACGTGTGCTTGTCTCCACCCATCTAGAAGAGGAACAAGTCGTATCGCAAGCATGAACATGAACTCACCTCTTGCTCGGCAAGGCGTCGGATGAATCGTGTTGTTTCAAGAAGTTTGGAGAAGGACGCTTTCCCAATATCACTGAGCATCTGACACTCGGACGGGGACAACGGCGCCGCATCGAAGAAGGACGTCGGGTCCCGCTGCGCTCGGGTCATGACGTCGTGGTACCGAGCGGACGAGTCGGTGGGAACGCAGGAGGACTCTCTCGACGGCGGCAACCGCGATGGGTGGACCAAGTATTCAGCTCACGAAGAACGAGGTGTGGTGCACCAGCAACTCTGGCAATGACATGGTCAACACTGTACTTTGGATGTCGACTGGTGTTACAAGCGCTGCATGCAGTGTCGACCAATCAACGAGCGATAATCTGTGAAAATTATCGAGTTTTAACCAATCCGATTCATTTAGTATGTAATCCGGCGCTCAACACACGTAACGACCCACTGTGCCCTGTTGTGTAATGGGTCTTTCCAACCTAGTCAGAATACATTGATTCAAAATAGACGATTGCTTTCAAACGCTTGTGGGCCTCAACTTCTTCAAAATGACACCTGCAATCGGTCAAAATACGCACTCGGATCCAGACTGGATAACGTGCCTGCCCGAATGTCAAATTTTGTGTCTTTTCCGGCGGTCGGGCGTGAAAAATGTACGGCCGTTGGTGGTGTTTGTAGCGGTGGCGAAGTGTAAACGCCAAGCAATCATCTTAGCTACGTTGTTGAAGGTGGGAGAGCCGATACGATGTCTGGTGGGTGGTTGTCGAGAGACGGTAGAAAGTGCCGCTCAAAAGGAGATTCAATGCGCAGGGGAGACAACCCAATCTGTTCGCAAAATGGACATCGAATAAGGGCATTCAGGTATCGCATTTGTGTCTGTATGGGCAGATCTCCGTGCCACACGCTCGTCGCTGCCACCACGAAGAGCATTGTACACCTGATAAACGTGTTCCTGACGATATCAGCATCTGACAAATTGGCATGTTGCATTATATTAATTGAATTGAACAAGACAGCGCCATTTCTAAATCATATAACATTCAAATGTATTATCAGTGTGTGTTATGACGAATCCTCGTAGAAATTTCCAAAACCCGCTACATTGCCATCATCTGGTCCATGGCTGTACGACTGCAATCCCGAGGGCACTCAACATCCACACTGGTTTGTCTCTGTACAATTAATTAGCATCAGGTCTGCAACAGCGAGGGGAACATCGCCAGGCATGCGGAGCGTGACATGCTAAGCAACTGAATTCCTGTACAATTTAATATCCAAATTCATTGGTTTTCCGAGTACGAACCTTGATCGTGGGCAGTTACAAGTGAAACGACCAATGAGACAGGCTGCGCTATAAATACCTGTCGGTGCTGTCGTGAATCGTCTCGCCTGGACGCGGTAGGACAATAGCAGGAAGGAGCGCTCCACCGATCCTTGCGCGTCGATGGGCAAGAGGCTGTGTGTCAAGCCTCCAGATGCGCTTGGCACAACTCAAGGCGACGGCCACGAGTACCGTGGGAAACGCACGACTTTGCCACCCCACGAATTCCACACATGGAACTACATTCAAGACCCCCGCAACGAGCTCCATCCAGCGTTGGAGCTTGGTGTCCAGAGCACTCGCACGACGAAATTCACGTCGGGTACAGCACCTCAGACAAACGTACTGTTCAATCAAACCGTCCATGGTTGGTCGACTGGATCTAGGGTTTTACCGGCGATCGCGCACTGCGATTGCGTCCGACAGAGAACGACTCGCTCACCAAGCTGAAAAGGACAGAGCCAGCACCAGCAACGCGGCCCACCGCCACGAACGTCTCGCCGCGCTCAACTCGTCCTACGACTACAACATCCTCACAGGCACCTCGGGTGTTCCAAAAGTCATCAAGCTCCCGCCTTGCCGCAAGTATCTCGGCAGTGGCACCAGTGAGTTCCTCCAGCATGAGGGGACAATTCAGCTGCGTGAATCCGCGAACCGATTCTACAGGTAGGTTGACGTATAGCGCCTACCAACTCACGATCATCGGACCACAGCCAATGGCGCGAAAACCCAGGGCGCGCCGATAACTTGACGAGAGGTACCCCTGTGACCTTTGCTACATCGACCAGCGATTCGATGTGCGGTTGGAAGTCGTCGGTTTCTGATGGATCGAGTAGAGGGGTTGCGTGGGCAGAAGCAATCGTCTGCGATCGGAATCGGGCGCAACGAGATCAAGTCCCACGGGGCAGCTGACGCACTCAGCAAGTCTCTGTACAAACAATGCGTTGAACACAACACAGCCATCAAACTCGAATACACCCACGTGAAACCTCCTCCACCCGTTCCTAAGGTCACCCAGGAGCGACCCAAAGTCCACCAGCCATTGCAGTACCGCCCCAAGCCGTCGGCCCCAGCCTGGCTCCCCCCTGTTCACACGTCCACGAAACACCAGCAAGATGTCGACAGTGTGCGAGCATTGCGATAAGCCACCGAAAACTACCTCCCCCTGTCGTCTTGTGTGACTGAGGCTAGACTGGTGGCACTTGCGCCGGCATGACCATCTCCTTAAACTCGTGCGCCGTTTACAGGTGGACGCCCCGCAACTACCCAGTTGTGTAGAGCTATTTATCCTGTTCATGCAGGTCTACTTGCCGTCGATGGATAGCACCGTCGTCCAGGGGCATGTGACACCATGGATCGAACTGGGTGGTGGGTCTATTTTCCAATCCGATTCAAGATGAACTACATTGGTTTTTTGTCTACGAGAACTCGTTGAAGGTGGAGCGGTCACGCTTGGTTTTGGCCGCTGCCTTCTTCTTCGCTTCTTCTTCGCGGGCCTTCTTCACACCCAACGATTCTTCCTTCTTCTTGCCCTTGGCCTTCTTGGCCAGCACCGCCTTGATGTCGACGATGACAGTGGGGGCAGGAGGTGCCTCGGCTTCAACTACGACCGCATAAACCGTCCTTAGTCTGTGTAGAATCTAAAGATAAGGGTACCTTCGGGAGTAGCAGGCGCGGGGGCAGCCGCACCAGGAGCCGCCTTAGCCTTCTTCTTCTTCTTGGACTTCTTGTCTGACGAGCCAGCTTCGGCTGTTTGTGCGGGGGTGGCTGCCGTGACATGTCAGTTTCCATGGAGAGAAATTTCGATTCTTTGTATACCCGTAGCGATGCCCAATTCGGCCAAGACGGAGTCCAATTCTTCAAGTTCCTTTTGCTTTTGTTCCTTCTTGGACAGGACAGGGGCGGCTACAGACTTGGCAACGACTTTTGCAACCACGGGCTTGGTCACTGGTTCTTCTTCCTCCTCTTCTTCTTCGCTTTCGCTTTCGCTGTCGTCGTCTTCCTCCTCAACTTGCGCTTCTTCGGCAGCCAAGGCTTCGGCAGGAGTCAGCGGCATCGACAGGGACGTGACGGCACCGACTTCTTCGTCGTCGCCCCACGAGGCAGTCGCTTGACCGGAGAACATTTGCTTGGGAAGGACAGGGGCAGCATGAGCAGGCAAAAGGGTCGCCTTCTTGGCAGCTTTCTTGGACAGCGCTGTGAAGACGTTCGAGGAGTTCATGATGGAGGCGGTCGAATTCCGAGATTTGGTTGGTACACAAGGCGCAATGAGGCGGTCATGTGCCAGTGGACCAATCCGATGCCTTGAAAACCAATTCGTCCCATTTGATTGGTCCACATGTAGAAAGCAATTTTGACCCAATTATTCAGTTGACAATACAAAACGTGTTTAAGACGCCGATATATGCAAAATAGTATCGGACATAAGGAGTCCAAATCTTTCTTCACCGTATGTGCAAGGCCTGACCAAGTCGTTCCTGGGTAATTGAAGAGTACGAGCGGCATTTGAGCCAAGGAGCATACGTATACGACAAGGTACTCATTGTAACTTGCAAATTTCACGACGACGATGCAGTCCAAGCCGAATACAGTAGATGAAATAATTGGAATTAATAGTCATTGGGTGACTGGATATCCTCATCCGGATGCTGTGCACTTTGAAAGGTCGCATTTGTCGAGCAAGCGTTGAACATGCCGCTGTCGGCGCGGCACGTCGTGGTCTTTTCGGAGCTCAGCCCCGAGCAAAAGCAAAACTACACCAAATTCATCATCGAGCACAATGTCAAGGTACACTGCGGTGAGCTTGTGCCATCTTGACGTGCGTCGTTGGGGTTGTAGTTTGGTCGAAACCCAGACGGCCTGTATGTGGCAACTGTCTCGTTGGGTAGTGCCCACTTTTCACGTGCTGCAGAGGAGGCAAGAACGCAAACAAAGCAGCAACCTCTTTCCGTGGAAGAGCTCGACCACGCAGTGCAGGAAATGCCTCCAAGCATGAAGCGATACGCGACACTCTACTTTCTCCTTGAGTCGCTGCCAGTGGAGCCATCCAAGACGGGTTTGTCCGATATCCACCTGGCCAAGACAATTCATGACATTTACGATGCGCGATGGGAAGACGTTCGCCGGGACCACGCGCCGTCTTTGGCGGTAGATGCGACTGTGGCCTCGGTCGACTCACGCAATCGAGTAGACACCGTGTGGACAGGCGTCGTCGTTTGCAACGTTCGTCGTGCACCACTTTCAAACGCGCTTTGGGTTGGCCAAGCTCGTGGCTCAAAATGCCATCGACCTCATGCTGGCGCTCCACGCCAACAAACACGTATCTTGGTCACACTCTTGTCGCGGGTGTGATGGCATGCTTAGAGGCTTGACACAGAAATCTTTTCGTGCTTTTTGGACGGTACCTATTGCGACGACGCCCTCGAGTTCTACCTCTTTGCTCGCCATGAAATTGTGGTACGATCGACGAATGCGCGACTGGATGGAGGATGGATTTCCCGGATGCCCTGACAATGGCATGTGTGCTCAGGTACTCCTGACCAAAGATACACTCGGGGGCAAAGTCAAGTACGTCGTTGAATGCACGTGTCATGCCAGGAATACGTTGGGTCGAATGAAGTTGTTTATGCCCTGCCGTTGCGTCCATCCACTGCTTGAATCGGCGGTGCTGCCGACAGAACGATGTGCTTATTATTATTGCGATTGCCTCCTACCGACGACTGCCGCGTGGTGCTTTGCTGAGAACATTGGCCGCCCTTAGCTTGAGCAAGGACAGCACGTGGATTTCCAAAGCACAGTGCCTCGTTGCAGCGAATGCAGTATTTGGGTCCCGCCTGGACCCGAATTACGCCGTCGTACGCGTGCCATGTGCCCTCTTGGATGGACGCTCATGTGTGCACGTGCAGTTCCTGCGTAAGTTGAAGCGCCATTTGACAATGCAACCTGCGTCACGGGCAAATACTCACATCATCGAGGTGCGTCGTCCCCATGCGGCCATAGGGCCTGATGGAATGGGCTAGATGAACGAGTTCCTTCTCTTGGTATTGGAAACGTTCCAGGCCGCCCGGGTTGCCGAGGAACCAAGTGAACTTGTACGATCACCGTCCAGGACACATGACAATAACACTATTGTGACGACGACTCGTGCAGGCAGTCACGACGTCCGCGACAAAGACTCTGGAGACTTCTGCCATCATTACACCCAAACTACGTACACAAACTGCGTCCAAGCGGCTATTCCATGTCATTCCCTAGAGCAAGGCGACGAGCGGCAGAGATTCGAAGCCCTCTTACAACGTGTACGCACAAGACAGCTGGAGAACGTACGCCAACAATATCTACAGACTAGGAGTAGACACATTCGTGCTCTAGGCATCGTCGGATGGTGCGCTGAGCCCCAAGAATGGTGCCGTGGTGTGGCTATCGTCGCCAACCTGAAGGTGCCGCCGTCTTCACCCCCATGATTGAAACAGGTATTCTGAAAAACACAATAAAAATATCAACAATCATTTCGAATTTACTGATGTTTAAATAGCCGCATCTTATTTAAAAAATTCTTTTGAGCCTGGGATTGGCTAGAATGAGGCCAATCAAAAGGGACAATTCTCGAAACCCGATGGATCTTGGGCACATCAACACTGGCCACGATGATGCGACGCCTGGTGACGTTGGTCGCGATGGCCTGTGCGCCAGTGCTCTCGACGCATCACGTAGTCACGCCGCATCCGAAGCAACGCTGCTTCCCCGAAGATTTCCTCCTCGGGACGGCCACTGCTGCCTACCAAGTCGAAGGCGGGTGGAACCTCACGGGCCGTACGCCCAGCATCTGGGACGACTTTTGCCGAGTTCGCGACAACGTGCAATGCGCAAATGTTGCCGACGACATGATCCATCGGTACGTGAGCGACATCGCGATCATGAAGGCCATGGGCCTGTCGTCATTCCGGTTTTCAATCTCGTGGCCGCGAGTCATGACGTGGAGCAACAATTTGCAACGCATGTTGCGCAACGACGCCGGCATTGCGTTCTACCACGACCTCCTCGACGCCACGCGTGCCGCCAACCTAAAGGCCGTCGTGACGTTGTACCATTGGGACCTTCCCTCGGCGCTCCACACGCATGCGAACGGGTGGTTGAACTCGTCGATTGTGTCGCATTTCAATGAGTATGCCTCCTTGATGTATGACGAGTTTGGCGACAAGGTGGACTTTTGGACGACGTTCAATGAGCCATGGTCGTTTTGTGTTGGGGGATATGGCGGCGGGTGGCATGTAAGAAGGACGATCTGATGGGGTCACGATTGTTCATCATGTGGTAGGCACCAGGCATCTCCAACTCGAACACGGCGTCGTACGTCGCTGCCCATCACGTCCTTGTTGCGCATGCCACGGCTGTGCAAACGCACCGGTCCAAGCACCTGAAGTCTAAGATCGGCATCACCCTCAACGCCGACATGGCTCTACCACTGGACCCGTCTAACCAAAACGACGTGGAAGCAGCCGAGCGCAAGCTCCAGTTCTCCCTTGGATGGTTCCTAAACCCCATCGTAAATGGCGACTACCCCACCGTCATGAAGCAGCGCGCGGGGCACTACCTCCCGCGCTTTACACCGACCGAGTCAGCACTCCTCAAGAAGAGCTACGACGTCTTCATGCTCAACCATTACTCGACCAACGTGGTCACCGACTGTGCATCGCCCACGTACGTTTCGTTCATGGGCGCTCGCGATTTGACTGCATTGTGTGGCTGATTGAGGAGGCATTTCACGAATTACTTCGGAAAGGGGTGCCCAACCAGCTTTTTATGATTGAACGCACCATCAAGAGTTTTTTGGGATTGAATTGGTGTGTTGTGGCGGCGCCGTTGAGTAGGTCGACGGTTGCATGTAATTCGCTCCTACTTGGCTGGAACCGAGACGTGGGTGTGGATGCGGAGCGGATTCCAGTGGGTGCTCGCACGGGCGACACGAACGCCAAGGGCGACCCGCTTTGTGCGTGGTTCAACGGTACGTCATCGAGTTGCGATAGTGTGTTTGCCTTGGCACGTTTCGCTGCTCTCCGTGACCTGTTTCATTCCCCACATCCGACCTGGTCCAATTATTTCGTCTGTGCTGCAGGCTACCCTGCAGGATACCTTCCCATGATCCGGTGGATGCACGATTTCGACCCGTCCGCGTCAATCCTGCTCACGGAAAACGGATGGTGTGGCAAGAATGTGGTCGAGAACGACAACCAGCTGTGGTACTTTCAAACGTATTTGGACCAAGTGTGGCAAGCCATCGACGAGGGCATCCCGATCATCGGGTACACGGCGTGGTCGTTTGTAGACAACTACGAATGGGGCTCGTTCGACCCGCGGTTTGGTCTGTTTCACGTCGACTTCCCACCCCAGACGGGATCGCGAGATGGATTTATCCCCAAGTCTACCGACCTCCGCCGCACGCCGCGACCGGCTGCGACATGGTGCGTTTTGCCCGCCACTCTGCGCGGAATCTCACTTGAGGGCGGCGCTAGGTATGCCCAAGTGGCAACGACCAAGTGCTTCCCGCTGACGACCACCTACAAGTCTGTGCCGTCTTCGGAATACACTGATCCGTTGGCCAGCACGACAACGTCCCATTGGGTTCAAGGCGCCGTCACCGTTGGTTTCGTCGGCCCGATGCTGATTGCAGCCACCGCCCTCGTGGCACTCATGTACGGCAAACACCGCCAAGATCGCCATGAACTTGGCGAGCACACGCCGCTCGTCCCAAAGACGTAATCGACCTTGCGAAAATCGATCGGTGACTAGCCCGTTCAGTTGCTTGAGCTCTACCGGCTGCGGAATCTCGAGTCATGTTCATCTTGGTCTTACTTCCTTTGCACTCCATGGCGACAGCGCGACGGCATGGCATACGCGGAAAACGCTGCTTGCGCCCCACCAATGTGCAGGCCAAGACACTTGGCTTCGATCTGCCGAAGCCCAGCGTTGAGTTGGCTACATTACATGTTGGATAAACGGATTTCTTTCACTAGCTACGGCTGGGATGGCGACGACGATGTGTCATGGTGTGACGGTGCTGAGATGACGTCGTGCTGTATTGAGTGCCATGCCGAGGTGATGGCTTGTGCCAGCTTGTGGTCTTGGTCCCAAGCTTCGGCCATGGAGCCTGCCGGATCCGCCATTTCCCGTGTCAGCGCCTCGAGTCGCCGCATCGCCCGCTGAATATCTCGCTCCGTGCGGTCCAAACTCGCATGGTAGTCGCTCAACGCAATCCGAACCTTCCATGCTTCAAAATCTTGCGAAAACGTCAACACGGCGTGGGCGACTCCCGAGATCGCAAAGACCACACTCAGTATCACCAGCGTCCACATGACACCGCCAGCGTTGTAGTACTGCCTCCACCACATGCCCAGTCGCGTACTCGACGAGACAGGTGCGAAGGCCGACGACGTTGTGATGGACGGTATGGGCGTCGTCGACGCTCCCCATGAGACCTTGGCCGGCGACGGGCGCTTGGCCGCGGCTTCGGAGCGTGGCGCTTCAGTGTGGCGTTTGTGAGGCGGAGGTACCGGTGCCTCGGATGCTGGGGACATGACGTAGTGGGCGCCAGGGCTGGTTTTGCAGTGGTGACGTGTTGGTTCGTAGGTTTCGACGGTCGCCGCGTTTTGTACTTGTCGTGGGTCTTTCGCACCATCAAATTCCTCTTGGAAATGAATAGACGACAGATCCGAGTCGTCCAAGGTCTTGCCAATGGCGGTGAATGGCCGTCGATACGGAGTTGGAGGCTGGTCCTGTGCTGGTCGAGTCGTCGACGGCCGAGAGGGTTGCGGCGGCGAGGAATAATAGTTGTCGCGGGCCCAGAGCTTGGCGATGCGGCGGCAGTCAGGCATGGCAGCCATACATCGTCGTTTCATCGTGAGGTCCCATTGCGAGTTCCACACCACGTTCAGCTTGTCATTGTCCAGCGCAACTTGCATGACGACAGCGATCTGTTGGCGCAATCGATCGCGAAAATTCTCGAGGCACTCGAGAAGAAGAAAGAGAAGTGTGGCGTACTGGTCAACCTCCATGAGGGCAAGCGTTGATTTCCCGTCCACGATGGTGCGAAGGACATGGTAGTACATCTGCCGCATGCGACCTATCCACATGACCAATGAGTTCGGAATGACGGGGAGGCGAACCGCACCGTTCAGCTGAACATGGCTGATAAAGCAATTCGCAATGCACACGATGTCTAGCGAAGCAAATCGAGCGACGGACGTGATGCACTGGCTTTGGGAGCATTTGGTGTCGTGGAGGAGATGGGTGATGGTCGCCTCGAGCAGCGGCCGAACGGCCTCCACGCCAACTTCTGTCGCAACACTCGTGATGAATTCAAACCCTTCTTGAACAGCTAATGGATGGGTGTGCGCCAACACAGAAGCGAGTGATTTCTACACGCGTTCAATGTCATGCACGCAAGAGAACGACACGGTAGACGACGTACAGTGATGGGTAGCAGCTGATGAACAAGGCCCGATCGATCGTATTTGGCACCATGCACCTTTATGTAGTCGCGAATTTGGCCCTTCCATGATTTGATGCGTTCGGCGGGCTCCCTGCAGGACGCTGCGGAACTGCTGGCACTACTACCGTTTCCCATCCACGCAGATGAAGAGGATGGCTCGTAGTCGTTTTCGTCTAGTTGGTTACTCGAGTCTTCGAGGTGGTGGAGCTGTAGGTCTGACTCGTCAGCGCGATCTCGAATGGGTCCCATGGTCCAGTGGATAGGTCGGCCCGCCGCGGACTTGACAGCGCAGCACGGTTCAGCCCAAATCGGAGCTTGAATTAACCGGATGATTTTGAATTCCCAAGCAGGGTTGAAACTCCATTTTAATATATGAACGAACGGCATGTGGACCTTTTTATTGTGAAATGTTATCGAGTTTTTCCCGCCTTCCGGATAATCATAAATCACCCGTCTTCGGTCGTCGCATGGAGAATGAGGTCACGTCTGGATGAGGTCTCGGAAGCAATATACGCAGAGCGCGACGAAGGCAGCGGCGTTGACGAGAGGGATGTACGATCCGAATTGAGGCAACTGGGCCGACACGTGAAGGTAGCTGATTCCGAAGGCCACAAGGAACACGAACGGGATCAACGGGTTTGCGCTCGTGCTTTCGTCGGGCGTGTCTGCTTTGGCCTCGTTCATTTCCCACGACTACACGCATGAATATCTCGTGTGAGTTGCTTCGTGTAGTAGCAGCGCGGTGGAGGTTGCATCGTACCCGCCAGAGCATGCGGTCGCTGTTCGTCGACGGGTGATGAATGATCTCGTGCATGAGCTTGGGGTACTGCTGGGCGAATTCAATGAACGACGGTGCTTCCGCCAGAACATGGAGCTGATTCAACACGAACGTGATCGCTTTCTACACAAGGGGGCGCTGTTCAGTGCCGTCTTCGATCGGATGCGTCGATTCCGTGGGCAAGAGCACGACATGTTGAGGACAAGCTCGGCTGACCTCATGCAATAACGATGCGTTGATCATGTCGGCTAGCACAAGGAGCTCCATGCAGTTTTCCAGCGTCACGACCGCATGCGCTTCACACAACACTACGTATAAACAACAAGCCGTCAAGAATTACCGTGGTGGCCACATCGCCTTCACGTTGCCTCGGTCCAGACAAGTTCATCACCTTTGAGCCTGGCGATGCCGTACTTGTCAGCCGCCACCAAATCGTCCAGAAGAGCTTCCTCTGTTGTGGGACGCACCCACTTGTCGCTGTACATGAACGTGAGCACGCGTTGCATGGTAGCGTACGCCGCATCCACATGAACCATCGACTAACCAAACATGGTTCAACCAGTGGGGCTCCATGGCCAGGACAGGCAACGCACCATCGAGTCGTGCATGGCGTTGCCAAGCAATGCTCGAAAGTAATCGCTGCGACTCGTCAGCATGCACTTGTGGGCTCGAATGCGGTGGGATTCCGCGACGACCACCACGTCAGCAAACAGGTCGCTGCCCAAGGCTTCCAAGATGGATTCGCCTAGCGTTGCAATCGCCTAGCCGGCCCCAACGCGATTTAGCTTGTTCCCGAGGGCATTTTCCGGGATGCAGGAGCGACGTGGATGGGGTTGTACCGTGTGCGGTGCCTCCGGCAAAGGGCTTGCCGTTGGCGCACCGTCGAGAGATACTGTTGTAAAGCGATCGCAAAGCGCCACGAGACCGGAAAGCTCCAGTCTACTCCAACAACCAAACATTCTCCTAGTTAGTCGAGGTGGACGCATCAAGACACCAACACGAGGCGCAACGGACTCGATCGCGGCGCGCCGAAGGTCCGAAGGCACGCACGACGATGGATCGATGGGTGTAAATAGCGTATCCGTGTAAATGAACTCGAGCACGAGCGCACACACGTCGTATCTACGAGGAATCAATCAACTCTATCCGTGTGAGGGTGCTGACAACCACAAGTCGTACCGGATCGATGGCAAAATAACTTGGAGAACGTTGCTATCGTTGCGTTTGTATTCGCGCGTTTCCGTCGCGATGAGGTTGCGCAGCACGGGTGATCGGTACGACAAGATCTAGCCCAGGGAGGGACAAAGATGAATGCGGTAAAGAGGCTACTATATACCATTTGATGGGCAGGAAGGCGCTTCCCTGACACAAGGAGGACTACGTCGCTGCAACGACGATGGCGCAAGAGTTCGTACATGGCTCGACCAAGAAACGTGGCGCCTCCGATGACGTACGTTTGCCTACGGGGGCTTACTGCTTTGAGCGAACACTTGCCAGGACAAGCGAGGCCTTCAATTGCAGACACACACGGGACCTGTCTCCGCACGATATGCCTTGTACGACTTGCGTGGGACATACGAGCGTAGGTACAACTTGGATGACTGAAAGAAAATTGTGCGTTCAGTCGAAGGTCCAGAACTCTGCATCGGCGTGCAATGGACGAGAATGAACTTGCCGCGCTCGTGCGGTGAAGCATGCCCGCAAGGGCGAAGCCAAGAAAATTCAGCGAAAAACCATCCACACGAAGTGGTGCATTTGAAAGAGGTCCTACCTCCAGAAGGCATTGTTCCCCAGACAAATACATCCCCGTGCGTCGTGACCGCACCAGCATGCGAACTACCAGCCGAAATAGACTGAAAGTGATTGCCTAGCGCGGCGACTCGGGAAGGACGCATCCACGTCCACTGCGGCAGATCCTTCCTAGATCCATTCAAACGTTGTAAATCAATTGAGTCACGAACAGCACATGGGCTTCGTACGGCGTTGGTGGAATAGAAAGGTCAGGTAGTCCGGAACTCGTGAGCCCAGCCCCCCATGCCCACACACTCCCGTCATGATCCAGCGCAATAGTAAAGTCCCGACCGCACGCGACGTGTTTAACGCCTTGCGTCGCGGTGCTCTAATGGCAGATTTTATTGCGTTTCGCACGACCACGCTGAGTCGAGTTCGTACGGAGGACGATGTGTGGTGATGGTTGTTGTCGGCAGGGTGCAATGTCGCGAGAGTGGGGGAGGAGATGTCGGACAAATGGCCGACGCCAAGTTGCCCGTGGGTGTTTTTCCCCCACAAGAAGAGCTGACCTGCTTGGGTGACACACGCGGCATGGGCTGCTCCACACGCAATCTAGGCCCCCAAATGGATCACAGACTCCAGAAATGCAAACCCCTCACCGAAGTGTTGTACCTCGATCACGCCAGATAAATCGGGGATGACGGCGGGCAACTTTTGTAGCTGTTGGTCGTGTCGAATACCTCGAGCAGTTGCTGCTCGTTTCGGAGGAGGTCCCAACCCTGTCAAAGCAACACCGTACACCATCGGTCCCATCCAAAAATCTCCAAAACGTAATGTACTTCTTACCCAATCGGCCGTGCAGGTACTTTCCCCATGCATACACATCACCTGCATCCGTCAACGCCAGCGAAAACGATACACCCGCTGCCACTTGACTACATTTAACTGGCACAACCTCCTTTCCCGACTGGAATTGAACGAGTTCTGGACGGTCGCATTGCGGAGCGCCAACTGTGCCGCATGCAATGCGCACACCCCACGTGAATACCTAGCAGGACCCGCCACATCGAGGAACGTGTCAGGAACCAACATCGTGAAGGCACAGAAGAGACAGGGAATAGCCGCATGCCCGTTTAATGACACCATTTGAAGGGGGAACCAAAGTCCACGTACAACGCCCTCCGACGTGAGCGCGATGGAGTGCGCTCCAAATGTCTCGTTGCCGGCCGCGGCAATTTGGATGACCACCGTTTGGATATCTGCCACCAGAGGAGATGCCTTTAATGTCCATCGGTTGTCTCAGAACGCGAGCCTACCAGGAAACTCGACGAATTGGGGAGTTTCCGCCGACGGAGCAAGACCACCAATCCCAAGCGCACCATCCTGACTCAATCCCATGGCATAGACTTGACCCAAGTCGCTCAGAAACAACTACAAACCAGAAAACAAGGGGGGGGCGTCACATAAAACACTACAACGACGCAAAGGTCTCACCGTATGAACGGCGCTGCTGGTACACGCAATGATGCGAGTTCGCCCAAGCGACTATGGTACCACGGGAACATGAGCGATCCGCATCGATGAGAAAAATGCACCGCTGGGAAACTCATCGGGGTCGGCGCAGCATCCACGTCGTTAGGGAGAGTGTAGACGTCGACAAGGTCTGCCTGGACACGAGGTTGTTGGGACCTAGGCGTACAAAATAAGGAAGGGGCTTCATGAGTTCCCTTTGTGGTCTCTGCATCAGTGGTCAGGATAGTTGGAACAGATCCATTTACGACTCACGAAGTCATTTTCTCGAGCACCTTACCGAACGATAGAAGCGAGGGGCACAGTAGGTGTGGGCACTTGACTCAGGAAAATGTCGTGATGAGTGATTTTGAATTGAACGTCTAGCACGGTTGAAGCTTCAGTATCGACCATATCCTGTCAAGTAGTTCGTGTCCGTTGGCATATACCTTTAGGAGATGATGCGTCCCGATAAAAATTGCAAACGCCGCGTGCCCGAATAACTGGGCCAAGAGCCTCGTTCGGGGCATTGACCGATCTGCAGCGAAGGACAGCATGCCACTCCATTGACACGCCGAGACCCCACGACGCGTTCTCTTGAATGCCAATTTCCACGCCAATCTGATGCTCCATGAAGAAGAGAAAGCATATGTCATGCGTACATGACCAATAATGGACCCAGTCTTCCATTCGACGTCCAGTACTGAAGGAAATATGGCTTGGCCTGCAAGAGCGATGTGGCTATCAGCGTCTTGGCAAATGAACACAAGGCAATGTGCTAGTTTGTCGACATCGGCATCGCTTAATGTGCAGTCAATAGCACGAAGGCGGGCGACGAGGGCCTCGATGAGTTTCTTCATCGAAGTGCAGGTAACGATGGCAACGTCGTTGATTCGATACGAAACTTTGTCGTTGCCGCGTACGTCTCGTATAGCGTTCAAGTCGATGGGGTCCTTGACCAGCAATTTCAATGGGAGCTTGAAGCCCCCATGCGGAGCTACATTGGTAAGGTCGTTTGTCATGCGCTACAGCACACAAGTGATAAGGTCCACAGTACATAATGAACGATGCCAACAAACAACCTCAATGTAGCTGGAAAAGGATGTGTCTGCAGTGGATTCCTCACGACGTTGCTCCAAGTCTGCGCACGAGATGGCGTAACCATGGAGGTGGCATACAGCGGAGGCGTTTAATCGAAGCTCGGGGTTTGCTCGACACAACCGTTGCATCAATGCATCTAGTCTCTTCGTGGACTCGATCATGTCCTGAAGGACTTCCTTCACGTGCAGCACGTCGTCTTTCTCAGCAAGTCCCATCGAACGCAGTAGCTTGCCGCGTTTGCGACCGACGAAGCGGTGTTGCAAGATCCAACGTTCAGAGAATATCCGGTCTTTTCCGGAAAAATTCAAACCAGTTGAGAGTTGACATGGACATGGCGGACGAGTACATGGCGTTTCCTGGAGGGCGGCGGCAAGGCAGCATCTGCACGACAGTGACAGCGCTGCCGATGAGCATCACGTCCAGGATCTTCTCTTGTTTCAGTTGGAGTGGAGCTGCATCGAGAATCGACATGCAAAGCGGACGTCGGTACGTTGGTTTTCATCCCAGATGACCGCCGCATTGACTGTGGACACAGCGTACGCATCGACAAGGGTATCGCCGAGGGAGGGTTCTCCTTTGTATATGCCGTCCATGACACAGACTCGATGGAGCAGTTTGCGATGAAGAAAATCTCTTGCCAGTCGTCCGAGCAACGACAAACGGTGCTGCACGAACTTGGGTCCGTTTCCATGACGACGTTGTTGGCATGAGGTGATTTATCGGTCATGTAGCGTGCACAAGAAATGCCACCACAAGAACTTAATGCCTCTGGTCGACTATGCAGTGGTGCATACCGCTGCACCCGATGTGAGCACGTATTACCTGCTGTTTCCGTTAGTGGAGGTACTTGTTGACATTGTTGCGCTCGTTGGCCATGATGATTCGCCTCAACTTCATATCCCATATCTGTAGAATGGTTCGTTGAGGCAATACATTGACTCCTATCGATCGTACGGCTCGCATGCGACGAATACGTTTCTTCACCGCTGAGTTGTGACAGACGGCAAGCATTCATGCCGGAGCGCGCCGTCCTAGACATTTTCCTCAAGGTCAGTCACGCTGTCGCCTTTCTTCATGCACAAGAACCATGCTTGGTCCACCGCGATATCAAGGTACGTTATATGTCCACCGACGACACGTTCATATGTGGAATAGCCTGAGAATGTGCTGCTTGATCACGATCTGGACCCAATTTTGACGGACTTTGGGTCCGTTGTTGAAGGTGACATTGCCATCTTGACGCGGACAGATGCCCTTCATGCGCAGGAGGTGGCGTCCATTCACAGGTGTGTTGGCTCTTCACCTTCGCATACACTTGCTGTGCTTCACAATCTCTCTGGCACCTTGGTTCATGCAGTTCGATGGCATATCGAGCACCAGGTTCGTTTGAACCATCACAGAATGTGCATTCACGGTGTTGTAGAGCTGTACGACGTGGCAACTGCATCCACTCTGACGAGTCAGACCGATGGTACACTCCTCGTTGCGGTACATTGCACGTGCCAAACGAACTCGACGTGTAGTGTGGTCCATGGGGTGCTTGCTGTATGCGATGGCATTTGGATATTCGCCTTTTGAGTGCTCCGTCAATGATTATGGCCAGGTGTGCTCGTTCTCGTCCTCACGATCGAGAGAGTACATTGCACCTTAACGTACAGCAGGTGAAAATGACCGAGTGCACCTACTTGGCAGTGCTCGGGACGGTCAAGTTTCCCAGTCAAGTCCCGTACTCGCCGTTCGTGTTGGACCTCATTCGATACATGCTGATCGTTGACACTACCCAGCGACCTACAATGGCCAACGTCATTGATCGCTTGGAGCATCGAACGTAAAGCGACCGCTTGTCCTTTCACGACGAAGCAATCTTTACTCCGTCCTGTCTCGATTACCCACACGACCCATTTCATCTGGACGGCCCCATATTACTCTTGTGCACGCCTTTTTCATGGAGACCAAGTTCTCCCTTCAGATACATTTGAAGTCAGCGCCGCGAAGACCAAAGTCTAGTACACTTGCCGGTTATAATCATGCCCTTTCAAATTGCTAAGAGTTGCCATATTGCTCGCGTGGAGAAGTGCGCCGTGGAGAAGTTGAGTCGACCGTTTTTTGTTGGATCTATTTTCGTGAAGCGTTACGAAAATGCTCAATACTTGAAAGGTCAAATTGAGCGTACACAGGATGAGCAAGGCAGATAACATTGACTTTGCTGCGCTGGGGCTGAATGCGGACCAGTACGGAGCTCTCAAACGCGCGTTCTCCAAGTACGACAAGATGAACACGGGCACAATTCGCGTGACGGACTTCGCTGCGTTGATCAAGGATATCGGTGAAGAATTTGACGAAGAGGAAATGCAAATCGCCAAGACGAGCTTAGAAGACCAGGACGGCGACTACATTCAGTTCACTGTCTTTCTGAAGTGGTGGCTAGAAGAGTTGAAGTAGCAACATGCAATAAATACGCCGTCACTTGGACAAATTGACGGCGACTTCACGGGCTTGGGCTTGAAGTGCTTGAATCACCGCACGTTTAACCTTTAACGCACGAGAAATGAGTTCCCGCCGCATTTGCCTACGACATACTCATGTGGTTCAAGCTAACGTAGACCTGATACACAGATGACGTTAAGTACTTGGAGTGGAGCACGGCGTGGCGATCGTGCAGCCTGCGAATGTTCTCAGGGACGTCGGTAAGGTCAGGATTGCCCGATAAATCCACGACTTTGAGTTTGACCAACGCGTGCAAGCCTTTTGGTAGTGTCTTCAGCTCGTTGTGCGCGATACTCAGCACTTGCAATGATGAAAGCAGCGCAAACTCGTCTGGAATGTCTTGGATACGATTGTGCTGGACAAACAATTCCACAAGCTTGGTGCAACCTGTCAAACTTAGGGGCAGTGACCGCAGTTGATTCGACTGAGCAAACAGTTTCCGGAGCTTTTGCAGACTGCCCATATCGGGTGGCAGATGCGTGAGGTGGTTTTGCGCCAAGTTGACAACTTCGAGCAGGGGAAAACACTCGACGAATTCAATCCTACAAAAACATGTCATGAGTCGGAGGGCATACGAGAATAATGGATAAGTAAATGCATGGACGTACGGGAGACTGGCCAAATTATTGTTGCGTAAATTCATGACCCTCAAGCTGGACATGTTGAGGATCTGGCTTGGTACAGTTGTAAGGTGCAAATCTGCGAGATTCAACTCATGTCCGGCCGTGATGTTTTCGCATTTTTCCAGGCGATGAGACAGACAGTCTTCCGGAGAAGAGGGTTTAGATCTGTCGTCCATGTTCTTCAAGCTGCCTGGTCAACTTTGCCACTTGTAAAGGAAATAAAGAGGATGCATTCCAAGATATTTTTAGGTCTTGGCTAAAAAACGCCTGCATTACGTCTACGATTGCTTTTGTTTGTGCATGATTGTCAACAGTTGCGCATATTGGCACTCAAGGTTGTCGTGATACGCTTTGACGAGCGAGTGGGACTTGGACATCCCTGACATTTCGTGTTGTCAGTGTGTTGAAGTGATGTGTGTGGTGCACACCCAAGATCTTTAGCGCTGTGGCCGTGAACTTCTCGGCAGACTTCGTTTCTTGGTTTTTGAAGCAAGACACGCCCTGGACAGCAAGTGTAAGCGCATAATGTCACGATGCTATAGATTTGCAACAAAATTCCAAGCCTTCGCCATGAACCATTCGATGTCGTCGTCAACAAGGATAACGTCATCAGTGGAGCATAATTGAACGAATTGCTCAAGCCACGCGAACCCTTCTTCTTTGGACTGGGAAAGAGCCACTAGCTTTTTCAATGCATAGAGCGCTGGACGTGACTCCACGAAGTTTTGCTGCTGCGCCAATTGTAGTCTAAACACCCCGTGACATGATCATCACGTTGCCAAATAATCATCGTACGAATACGTGTACAACTGGCTAGCGATTGATCGTAACGACATGGTTGAAGACTATTCAGCGCATTGCGGTTGTAAGAGTGGCCATCGAACGTACAATGTACCTTGTCGGTCGAAAGTTTCGCCTTGACGAATACATAGTCTACAACAGCAACCAGATTGTCTTCGCATTGAACTTTGCCGACACTACCGCCGAGCTCTTGATATTTAATGGAGGTTTGCTCCATTTTAACCGTGTAGCTCTGGATAAAGTCTTCCTCGTGATAGTCGTCTCTCTGAAGTTTTACGACAAAGAGAGATAAGGCCTTGTATCCAGGTTACTACAAGTGTTAAAAGAACGGCAAGTCTCCAAATACCAAATATTCTTGAATTTCCGAACTGTGTTCGGTATCACTGCTCATTTGTTTCTCGATCATGGACTCCACCTACACTCACACGGATATAATAATTGAAAAAATAGTGCCCGATCAACTTCCAGAAGTTCGTCCTGCGCCATTGTCTCTATCTCTTTCATGCGCAAGCAAATCGTTGCAACCCAGCACTTATCGTCTCGACCATGCAGCTTTGTCACAGAAGTTGGAAACAATTTTGTTGCAGCCGTTGCAACTTGAGCAGCTAGTTTGAAGCATCTCCAATTTTGGGTGTTGACGCCGATATTGTGGCTGGAATAGTCATAAATGTGGATCAAAAATACCACACTATGAACAACGCACCACACACCAAAAAACCATTCGAGCACCTCTGGTGGTCCAAATGATGTTTCCGTTTGGCTGGACTCGATTTTCTCTGTGATAGCAAGTAACTCGTGCAGGTAGGCCATGAATTTTTCCAATCGTTTGACTTCGTTGCCGTCGCTGAGACTACGACCAGCAGTTAAAAACAGTCATCCATGCGATTGCATACCTGTTGTTCAACTGCGCCATGTTTTGATACAAAATGCCAATTTCCAATTGTGGGATTTCATTTGTGGAAAAAATGCGCTCAGAGAGTAAATTGGCCAAAAATTCACACACTTGGAGGACTGTCCTTTGGTTTTTCGCTTCGTAAGCTTCTCGGCCAAAAGCAACCAGGTCGTAAACATCAAAGTCGTCACATGCTATCAGTTGAACAAGAACGTCTTCCATGGAGTTCCTGTTACTCGAAGCATCACTCATCAGCACTCGAAAACAAGCGAAGAGGCTCTTCTTCGATGGCTCTTCGTTCATCGCTTCAGTTGCATATTGCATTGCCGCCACATAATCACCGCGTCGCAATTTAGCGCCCGACATTATCCTAATGTGGTTTTAGTGATACAGGTTGCTCTAACATCACCGTCCTCCATGTACCGTTTGCATGCAACACGTTCAGCGGATGTCATCGTCAACTTCATCGCTACCTCAGTCCATCCAACCAGCTCCTAGTTCATTAGGGGATGAGAGTTTTGGCTCGGTTTGTTGCCTACCTCGTTCAGACCGTAATTTGTGGCATTGCACGAAGAATCATGAACAATCTTTCTCAATTGCAACAATTGATCATGAGTGAGATGTGCAGACTGGTCAGCCAATTTCGCAACAAGCAAACAAGACTTCTCGCGCAGGGCTTTAATTTCCGACAGCGTCAAATCGGAAGCCAATTCGATATCAACTTGAATTTCTTGTTCTGGAAACTTTATTTTGAGTGTGTCCCACAACTTGGACACTGTTGTATTGTTGAAGCCGAGCGTATTCGAGTAGATCCGAGTGGCCTCGCACGCAAAACTGAAATTATCGTGTTCCTACTTCATGCACGACATTTATGCGCAGTGATCATCTATTACTCACCTGCAATTTTTCCACCAGACTGAGAGCGCGGGAAAACGTTTTCATCTTCAATTGCAATTTAACACCGCTCAGTAATCCGTGAGGTGTTTCAGGGACCATCAGTTTTCTCCAGCAAGCTTCCGCTTTATCCAACCTCTCCATGTCAATGTAAACGTCCACCAAACGCACCAATACGGTTCGTTGATACGATTGCTTTTTCTTGACGTGGTCGAGTGTTTCAATCAATTCCAGCGCGATTTCGAAGAGCCATGCTTCTGCGCCATCTGCGGCATTGAGCTTGTGTTGGCCATCTGCTAGATTTATGATCAGCTTGACGAACTTCGTTGCATTTTGAGGAAGATATGGGATGAGCATCCTGAGGTCGTGAATATCTTGCAACATATCGTCCAAAGTATTAATGCAGGTCAAGTGACCCACAAAGGCTTCCCAAACGTCTTCGCAGATTTCTTCGAGCTCAACACCACACTTCGTTTTGGATAAGTGATCCAATCCCAATGTTTTGTAAATTGCGATCGCTTCAGAGAAGAGCTTTTCGGGAGATGAAATGATTTGCGACGCAACCGATGTCCCAACGAGGGCATGCCCTGTTCGGGAAATACATCGAAGAAGGTCCAAGGACTCCGAAACGCTTGATCCAACCACGCGTTTGAGCAGCATGCACGACAATGCTCGCATTTGGTGGGCAAACTCTTTATTCGTATTTTGTAATGCGCACTTTCGACTTGCATTATACAGGTCAACCACGTCAGTTATCTGAACATGTTGGTGCTCTGAAGTAGTCCTTTCCAGCCAGCTGCGAATTTCGTAGAGTCGCTTCATGCACTCGTCCGTGCTGACTTCGGGAGATTCGAGGTAAGATCTCAGGTCAACGACGCGGATCATCGCGATGGGGTGCTCTGGAACAATCAGGTCGGCACGAGGTGGTGTTTGGGTTCCCGATTTGAAAAGTGCGCGAAGTTCAGAAAATTCAAATCCATCTAGTAGTGCAACTAGTAGTATTAATGTACTAGTAGTAAACTTTTTCACCTAAATACTAGGACATAGAGTATTGCAGACATTGTGGGGGGGGGCTAGAAAGTGCGTTGTTCTAACTGGCGAATCCCACCCAGCTTGCAGACAGCCTCCTGCATAGACATTTCGCCAGATCTTATCTGCATGATCGTCAGGGTGAACAGTTTGAGCTTCGTGATATCTCGAGTTTGCTGGCGAATTGAAGTTCCCACCTGTGCAAATACAGTCGCGGTGTACAACGATTACTGCACCCCTTCACAGTGTTTAAGTAGAAACGATGTACGAAATATGTACTAGAGGGAGTAAAATGTGTTGCACTACACCTTAACGATGAGTTCCTTGACAATGTTGTTTTGAATCGCGTTCGAATAGGGACACACGATATCGGCGGCTTTGACCACGCGGTCAGCAACGGACTTGTCAAGTCCGGGCAGGTTGATTTCCAACGTGACGGCAATACCGAACCCGGTCGGTATGGGGCCAAGGTCCACACTGGCGTTAATCTTGAAGCCATCTGGAAGGGTAATCTTGTCTTTGCTAGCAACGTACTTCAGCGCACCCATGAAGCACGCAGAGTATCCTGCGGCAAACAATTGTTCCGGGTTCACCCCCTTCGCGCCGAGCTTGATGTCCAAGTTGCCGCCGTCGGTAGACTTCGAGTGTCCTTCACGTCCACCCGTCGTAACAACATGGGCTGTGTAGTTAACCTTATCCAACACAGTGGTCACTATGCCGCGACGAGCTGGAGCATTCGCTAGGTGGATCCGGCGGAAGGCGGGGACAGCGCGACGGAACATAGTAAACTCGGTTTGAATTGTTGCGTTTGCACAATGCAAATGCCTAGTCCCACACTACAGCAGCGGGATCATAATACTTACTATAAAAAATAAATCTATATTTATCGATTTAAATACTAGTATTCATAATAGAATGAAATATGTTTACAGTTAAATGATTCCTTATTTAAAAATTGATCTCAGCGAATTCCTTTTTACCTCTGTTTTATACACCATTTTCAATTGAGTGCAATAAAAATTTGTTTACGTTGCGTGTCCCGAGAGGAGGAAAATATCTTCATCCGCAAACAAGAAGGCATTTTCCCCTTGAGCCATTGATTGGACCATATCGAAGTATACGAGCCAATGGCAAACCATCGCTCGTAATTGCAATTCCTCGACATGCTGCAACCTTGTCGACCTGTATCATGGTCGGCCATCTTGTTGGCGTGTCGGCGCTGGTGCTTGGACATTCCGCAGAGCCAGACCTTTAGCAGTTGGAGCTGCAGTGCATTGTCGCGTGAAGTCAAGCGTCAGCGAGATACGACCCTCTTGATCGATGGCAACAACATGCTGTACGACGTTTACGATTCGCGCTGCAAGCTCATCTGGTGAGTTGCTTCGTTTGCTGTCTACGATCTCATTAAACTCTCAGGAATGATGAACCCATTGGAGCGGCCGTGCGATTCGTCCAGCGAGTGCGCGAGATCGTCCACTCCAAGCAAGCAAATCGCTTGGCCATCATTTTCGACACCCCTCAGACAAACCAGAGACAACTTGCAAATGCCATGTACAAGCCAGCACACCAACGACGCACCATGGCACAGCATCTGCGCACTCAGTTTCCGATTACTGTGAGTTGTGCGCATCCTTTGTGTGTCGACATCGCCCTCCCTGATGGTCATGGGTAGATTGATGTGCTCAAAGCGCTGAGGTTTCCAGTGATCCAAGTGCCATCAGTGGAGGCCGACGACCTCATTGCGTCGTACGCTAAAGCGTCGGTGGTCGATGGGTTTGACGTCGTGATCGTCACGAATGACACGGATATGTACCAGTTGGTGCAAACTTCATTATCACCCAAAGACAAGGTGGACCATCAGGTGATCGTATATCGGCCAATGGCGCGGCAGTCCATTCGAGAGGCCAGAGTCAAGAAGCTGCTCGGTGGTGCTCGGCCCAGCCAACAGCCCGAAATCCGAGCGTTGTGTGGGGATTTGCGAGGTAAAACTCCAGGTATTCCTGGTGGTATGCAGATTCGGGAGGCAGTGGCCCTTCTGAACGCGCATGGTGGACTCATGCGATTGTTGCGAAATTTGGACGAGGTGTGACTAATACGCCCACGCGAAGATGTTCGTTCGACCGTCATTGTCATGTCTAGGTCCAAGATAAATCGCTCTCCCAGCGTCTCAAGAGCTCCATCAGCATGATTGAGCAAGCTTATAAGCTGTCCAAGTTGAACGAATGCGTACCTCTTCCAGTACCACCAGCGAAACTTACCATCAAACAGCCGCTCGACTTCAATCGTAAGGTATTGGACGAAGTATTTGGCCCGGAAGGAACGGCTATGGTGTTCCAAGCTCAAGCAAAAGTGCGCGGTCACCGGCCTTGTCACTTGGAAATCCTTCCGATCGACGAAGATCCTGACGACGCATGCGCCCCAACCACCGAAGCTGCGCTCGATCAATGGTTTGATTCCATTAAAGGCTAAGCGCGTCGCACGAAATGAATCAACATGATCTAAAAGCGCTTGAACTGATCATTTGGCCAGAGCGAAAAAAGTTCTTGTTGAGGGGACTTCTGCCTACAACTGGCTGGCTATCCACCGCTCTCGATTGTCCTTTATCCATTCCAGTGTCGTGTCCATTGCTCTCTATGCCAGCAAAGCGAATTGCCATCAATTCTCTTATTCCAAACTGATCAACAAGCAGCGCATCGTGCAGAATGCGATGTTTCCACATCTCAAGCAGAAAACGTAACTCCGAGTATCGTACGTCGAAGTACCAAGGAAGTACTAGTACACCCGGAAAATCTACCTTGGCATAGGTATGCAATAAATTTTAGTAGTACTAAATACCAGCTAAGTAATACAAATTCACTCCTCCGAACATGAAAATGGAGTCACGAAAGGTGATGGCAGTGCGCATCAAGCAAATCAGTTCCCACCGTTTGAGTGGCAAGGCATTGCGCATTATGATTTACCACACTCCTGACGTAGTCAACGAGCCTCCTCCATGCGACGTCCTCGTGAATCCGTGCAACGAAGGCATGACCGGGACATCCTTGTTCTCGTACTTTCCGCGGGGTGGTCCAGTGCCAGCACAGCCACCTCCCAACATGACGCATCAGTCTTTGAATTGGGGCGGCATGGACGCTGGTGACAAGATGCTATACCCTGTCCAAACTATTGACGGCCTAGTATGTCTTGCCGGTGGCCACGAGCTCCAGAAACTATTGGATGGGATCAAGGGGCCAATTAAATGTCCGACAGGCAGTGCTGTGTTCACGAAGGCTCCTGGCACCCTCTCCAAGCGCTTTCAAGGCATCGTACACACAGCCACGCCATTTTACCTGGCGTTGGACTGGGAGTACAAACTTGCATCGTGCTACATCGAGAGTTTGAACCTTGCGTTCACTGCTGGGCCATTCTTATCCATTGCCACGCCACTACTTGGCGCTGGATGCAAAGGTATTCCTGTTCCTGACGCAGTCCGCCTTGCTGGACATGCCTGCCGTAAATGGGATGCCATGAGCACCCCGCGAATTCCACCACTGGATCTCATCTTCGGAGTGCAAGACCCAGCGATTGGTGAACTTATCAGTGCTGAATTCGATGCATGAGCATATGGCGCAAGTTAACATGCACCAATCAGAGTACGTTCTCCCTTCAGTATCCAATCATAACTCATTATAGACATTTTTCAGCCAATGGCTCAATTTAAATTGCACTATTTACACCAATCAAAAGCAAGATGAGGTATTGTACGGATACACATTGACATGGATTATCCGGATACGCAAACACCACCAATTGATTGAAACGGTGCCAGCGCATTTCCCGATCGCCATGGCCGACTCGCGCTACAACCAACGCGGAGTGTCCGCGGGCAAAGAAGATGTGCACAATGCCATCAAGAACGTGGACAAAGGTCTGTTTCCTCAAGCATTTTGCAAGATTGTGCCGGACTACCTCTCTGGAGACGACGAGTATTGCATCGTAATGCATGCCGATGGCGCTGGCACAAAGTCGTCCTTGGCGTACATGTACTGGAAGAAGACGGGTGACTTGAGCGTGTGGAAGGGCATTGCCCAAGATGCATTGATCATGAACATCGACGATCTTCTGTGCGTTGGCGCGACGGACAAGATTCTGTTAAGCTCCACGATCGGCCGGAACAAGCAGTTGGTTCCTGGTGAAGTCATCTCTGCCATTATCAACGGCACGGAGGAGCTCTTGGCGACGTTGCGCAGCCAAGGCATTGGCATCCATTCGACTGGCGGGGAAACGGCCGACGTCGGTGATCTGGTATGTCGTGCCACGACTCGAAGAGGTGTAGGAACTGACATGGGATTGGCAGGTGCGCACGATCATCGTGGATTCGACCGTCGTCTGCCGCTTGAAGCGCAGTGACGTCATTTCCAACCACACGATTCAGGCTGGGGATGTCATCGTGGGTCTGGCGTCGTTCGGCCAAGCCACGTACGAAACGGAGTATAACGGCGGGATGGGCAGCAACGGGCTCACATCCGCCCGTCATGACGTGTTTGCACACACATTGGCGACCGAATTCCCCGAAAGCTTTGACCCTAGCGTCCCCGACGCGTTGGTGTACTCTGGTAAGGCGATCGTAGTTCCCCAAAAGATGTGTTCGTCGATGGAATCGATGATACTTTGGCGGGAGAGGCAGAGCTCATCCAGTGAACACGGCGTAGGCACCAAGACCCTCACGGACAACGTACCTGGCGCGCCGTTGAACGCGGGCAAGTTGGTGCTGTCCCCGACACGTACGTACGCGCCCATCATTAAGGCCATCTTGGACAAAGTGCCTCGGCGAAACATTCACGGCATGGTGCATTGCTCCGGCGGCGCGCAGACGAAGGTGCTCCACTTCATCCAAGACGTCCACGTCATCAAGGACAACTTGTTTGAAACACCACCTCTCTTTGCGCTCATCCAAGCCGAATCCAAGACGCACTGGAAGGAAATGTACCAAGTGTTCAACATGGGCCACCGCATGGAGCTGTACGTTCCAGCGGATGTCGCCGCCGACATCATCACGATCTCCAACTCATTTGGAGTCGACGCCAAGATCGTCGGTCGAGTGGAAGCCCACACTGGGAAAAAGGTCACGATCGTGTCGCCCCATGGCACGTTTGAGTACGAGTAAACCCGAACGAAAAAAGCAGCAATTTCTGGGTCGGCTTGCTCTCGTTGCGTACACTGGAGCCAGTCAAATACATCCTTTCCAGCTAAACGACCACGTCGTGCAGGGAATCAATCAGCAAGTAAGCGACGAAAACACATGGACGCCATTCTCATCGAAACTACATCCGTCCTTCATGGTGGATTATAAAAACGATGGCGAGTGGGTCGCATTTTTAGAGCCTTCCACCACCGGTGATGCTACCTTCCGACGGCGATTCCAAATGCACAGCTTGGAACCGTTCGTTGCTCACCCGGATTTCCTCTTCGCTGTCTTCGTACTCGACAGTCTGGTCTTCTTCGTCCATGTCGACTTCGGGGACGACAAACTTTGTGCCCCCGCCAAGATGGTGCGTGCCGTGGCCAGTCACGTCGAGATCGTCCGCCGTCACCGAACACGAGTGCAGCGTAATATGGGGCGTGGGGCCCACGGCGTCCGGGTTCTTCGACCACACTTTCCATCCATCTTCCGGTGGAGTATCATCATGGACCGTACACAAGCAGTAGTAATAATCGACGTCCGTCATCGTACCCAGCGTTTGACGGTTGTCCGCGTGCGAGATGTACCACCGGTGGGTCTTGCTGGGCATTTCACATCGAAACAGTGTGTACTCGACGTGGTTGATGGGGCTCGTCATACAAAACACGGGGCACCCGTCATGGCGTTGGTGCTGCTGCATCGAGTACACGCCATTCACGGGGGCAAACCCAGCGTCCGACACCGTGTAGCTCTTCTCATCCGGGGTGAACGGCACATGCAACAGTTCACCCAGTGCCATCAACGTCTCCAACTTGCCTGGATCGCGGTACAACACGGCCACCCGACCGCCCAAACTTGGCTTCAAACTTTCCACACGAAGCCACTCGTAGGTCCAGACCCAGTCGGTGACACGAGCTTGTAGCCACCGGCCGACACTCGGGACTTTGTGCAGATCCATCAAGATGGTAATATACCTGTAGATAAACAGTGCCGGCGCCGTGCCATACTGCGAGTAGACCTTTACGCGATCGGTCGCTGCCACGAGCAGCGAATACGTCGTTTGCACTATTGTCAACTCGATCAGCGACGCGGCGTTCGCTTCGTCGAACGTGAGCAGTTGCGTCAAGATCAGCACGGCCGCGTCCACAATTGGTTGTCCTTTCCAACCCAATTCCGCATGATACAATGCTGCCAACACGCTCTTGATCACAAGTGTGGATGTCGCAGCATTGCCCAAGCTCACTCGCACGAGCAACTCCGCGACCGCTTCAGCGTCTTCTTCCAGTGCCACTTCGATAAACACCTCGTGGACGATGGCTTCACGACACAACGGAGGAAGGTGTTGCAGCAATAGGGCCGCAGGTTCCAGGGCCTGTACCGCGGGCGGTCGTTGGAGATTTTCTCGGAAACCATGGGCTTTCAGGTCGCTCAACACTTGCTTGGATGTCGTGGCAGCGAGTTCCGTATAATATTCGAGCCAAGCGTCCAAATCCAACCGCGGCCACTTGGCTAAGATCGCTTTGATTTTCTTGGCCGTGAGCTTGGCGGTCGCGACAGTCGTGCCACAAACGCGGAAATATTTCTGCAGCTCTTTCACACCCATTATGCCGTCGACGGAATATTCTTCAAAGAGCAGGGCAAACGCACTTCTGGCCCGTACACTCAGGATGATCTTGGGAAATGGATTCTGAGCGGTGGGACGGGTCTGTTCTGCCAAGAGCGGCTCGGGCGAGTTTCGTGTCAAGCCCAAGAGTGCGCCGATGGCGTCAAACAATGCCTGGCACTCCAAGGGGGTCTCCCCCGCAGGGCCGTACGCTTGCACCAGTCGCGGGTACGACCGCGCACCGAGTAACACATGTATCAATCGACTCACCATTTGATACCGCTGTAGGCGTTCGCGAATCACCGGAGACAACGTCGCAATGTTGTGGACCAGCGTGAAATATTCATCGACGAGAGGGGGCACACACCAGTCTGCGATGCGCGTGCTCAATTGGGTCAGCGCAGTGTCATGGTTGGGGAACGCAGCCACGGCGGTCGCAGCGCGGGAGAGGAGTCTCGCGACCGTTTGACGGGCATTCGGGTCGGGGCATTCCGTAAAGAACATCGAGAGATCCGGTGCTTGCAAGAGCCATGTGGCAAATTCTGGGCACGTAACAAATCCGTCGTGGAATAGGGACAGCCATCGTCCAAATCCTTTCTTGTCACGATACCGCAGCACGATGGCCAGGACGAATTGCATTCCAAGTTGAAGCCACTTGAAGTCGGTCGATCGAGCGGTCACGATCTGCTTGATGAATTCGTCAAACGCCGTGTCAAACACGTACGAGTGTCGTAGAAAGAGATCGTTGGCAGCCCACACTTGCTGCGCGATCGGGTTCGTGTTGATCGCAGCATTCACAACGGGTGGAAAGGCAAGAGACGGCGGCGGAACCACACTCACTTTTTCGTAAAACAGCATCAGCGCGTTGCTAAACACCTCCATCTCCATTGTGTTGCTCACACCATTCCACGACGACGTTCGTTTTTGCATCCCACCAAAGCATTCGGCTTCAATGTTGGCCGGGTCAAACAGCGTCACGTCTTCGTCGTCGTACTTGAACCATTTCCCCACAGCTTGGTCTTTGATGAACGAGTAGTAGTGGCCGCCCTGGGCAACTCCTGCATGGACGAGGACCCCGCGCAGATGATACGTGTATTCGGCGTCGTCCTTGTCGGCGTGTTCTGCCATGTTGACGTCCTTGGTTTCGTTGTCATCATCGTTGTCGTCGTCGGATTTTTCCTCGAGGCCGTGCTTTGTGTACGGCTTCATGTTGAGCTCCAGCGGGAACGAGCATCGATTGTTCAGTTTCACTGTTTCAAACGTGGCATAATCCAAGTCGAAGCGCTTCAAGTGTAGCACGAGCAACTGGGGCAACGCGCCAAAGCACGTGCGTCGGATAGCAGCTTTCTTTTCGCCACACAATTCGCACTCGACCTTGTTGTCGCCGTCCATAAGCTCGCCCTCGACAAATGCCGAGAGCGACTCTTCAATACTCTCCTTGCCTCTGATTTGCAACTCGAGGCGAATGAACGCTTCTTCACGTTCGAAGCGGTGGCCACATCCCTTTGGCAACTTTTGTGAAATCAACTTGCCACCCAAGTGCGACTGCAAACACGCCGCGCCTTGAGGGGTTTTGCCCAGTCCAATTTCCAACCGATCGAGCAATTTATCGCAAAACTCACTCGCGTCGTTTTGTTGGTACACAGAGAATTCCAAGTTCAAGCACTTGCACGCTTCCACCTAAACGCCAACAACCATGAATGTGCATTCGACTTTCCTATTCATCAGAACACTATATTGCGTGAATGTACCAGTGCTTTCGGGTTGTAATATCGCATCTCGCTCTCCTTAAGGTACCAAAACGTGCGCTGGACCTGTCGCAAGACTTCGACAGTCGCATCGTCGCCTTGCAACGCCGGGGGCAACAACGTCACTCGACTCATTGCTTCTTTGCCCCACAGTTTGAGCCGAACGTCAGTGCTACCTTCATCGTACTTAATGAGGTGAAACTTGGTCTGGGGGTCGTATCCCGTTATGACCGCCTCAAACGATCGGCCGTTGTTTGCTTCATTCATAATCCGTCGCCCGATCAAGCTCGTGGGGTTGGTTTGCACCAACTGCTGAAGGTTCAATTCGGATTCTGGAATCTCGGGAAATCTGTCGAGCGGAATTTCGGCCGCCAACAGCCCTTGTCGAATCGGAGGGTACATGAACATTTGCTGCAAAAACGAATTCATGTAGCACGAGCACCCCTGGTTCTTCAAGCCGACGTGGTCGTCAGGCCCACGCGCGATCACGTTCACTTCTTGGCCCCACGACGCGTTCGTACTCTTCGTCGTTTCGATCAGCGACGATAGCTTCGCGTGCAATTCTGTCGCATGGATCGACGCGAGTTGCGCGACGACTGCGTACGCTGCTTTGCGTGTCTCGGGCGTGGCGCACAAGCACTTCGTCCCGGACGCAAACAAGCACTTGTCGTACGCAACATTGAGAATCTGCTGGCGTGCCCGTGCCGACAACGTCGGTTGGACGCACATGGTTTGCAAAATCGTCAGTGAACCCAACAGAACCGAGTTGGACATGGCCGGCTGAAAGAGACCGACGAGCGCTGCCTCGAGCTCCTCGACGTGGTCGGGGTTCATTTGAGGTACCAAAAACTTCAGCAGAGCAAACAATTGAGTGCCCCGGTCGCTGTCGATGGGGAGCGAATGTTGGAGCGCCTGGAGGGCAGGCGTGATGAGCTGCATCACATTGGGCTGCGTTTGCAACGTTGCAAACCATTGGACTCGTATTTGTTCCTCAGGATGCAGCAAAGTTGATTGCATCGGCCACGGATCCGGGAGCTGAAAGGGCATGTGGACAGAAATTGCTTGCATGATTTGGAGAGCATCGATCACAATGCGAGGAGAAAGAGCTGTGCGCAGCACAAGCGCACTGAGTTGGGTCATGAGCGAGGCAACTTGACCCGCCGACATGTGGACCGACTTAGACGACGAGCTGCTGGCGTCTAGCACGCAAAACTTGACCAGTCGAATCGCCACCGCCATTCCGTGTTCGTTCACGCGATTTTCAAACAGAAAATGTACCACTTGGTCCAGGCCGTACTTAATAAATGACGCCACATATGCAGGGGACGCTTGGCCGTGAACGGGCATGAGGCACCCGTCAATAATCTCGAGCACGTACACAGCTTTGTGGTACGATGTGTTGTACGTCAACCATTTCTGCAAGCTTTCCGAGCGCTCAAGGGGCTGTGACACCAGATCGAGGAGGTTCGTTTGGGTCGGTAAGTTTGCGATGACATCCAGGACAATTGCATGGGTCTCGGTATCTTGCTTCTCCTGGTATCGATCGAGCAGCCCAAACAACACGTCAAAGTATGACTCGCACTGGGAAAGCAGGGTGCCGAGGTGATGCGGCTGGCCGGCAGACGCAGAGTCGGCCCCGGTGAAGTCCTTGGTGACGTAAGTTTGAAACAGCACAATCGTGACTTCGACGCTCGGCTTACTGTCTTGCATGAATTGTGGAAACTCGCTGAGCGTTTTCCCGTCACCAATCAACGGCGCGCCTTGCACGAGCAACTTTGTTTGGGTCAATGGATGGCGCAGCTGCGCTTCCACCAACTGCCGCACGCTGCCAAGAGTGTTGTTCGAGGACACATGGAGCGTAAATGGTGGAATTTTCTCGAGCATCGACGAAGGCATGCGCTGCACCACGCACTCGAGGGTCAAAGGCGCACCACGTGAACGCTTGCCGTGCAATACCGCGGCGCTGATCGGGCTCTGGTTCATGTACCCCGTGAGCAAATGCATACAATGCTGGACGACGTGGACGTCGGAGGAGGACCGTTTGAGCACGTCAAACACGTGCTGGAGAAAATGCTGGGTTGCTTTGTCCGCGAGAGTGCTGTCGACTTGAACGTACACGTTCAGGAGCTCCACGATTGCTGACTTGGACACGTTGGGGAGGCCGTAGATGGCCATTTCCCACAAGGCGTCGAGGCCGATTAGCGCCTCAAACGACAAAATCCGACGAATCGAGTTGTTCGTCGTCGACCGAATCAAGTAGTGGTGATGGGCATTGATCCCGATAAAATACATGAGGAAACACGCAAATCCAGACTCGCTCAGCGCGCTAAAGTCTGTTTCCTTCGGGTTGCAGATCAAGTCGTTGAAGATGTACTCGCAAACGGCCACATTGAACGGTGCGACGTTGTCTTGGGCGAAAACGCTCGACTCGGCGAGAAACAACCAGCACAAGTCGCGGTAAACGCTGCCACCTTGCTTGGACAGCACAGTCCAGAGGGATCGCACTTGGGCTTGGGTCATTTCGAGGGCGTGCGATTTGCCGTAGATGTAATGGATGAGGTCGAGACGGTGGCGCAGGGCGGACTCTATCGTTTGGCGCTGGACAAACGCAGCCAATTCGTCGAAGAGCAGCTGTACGAGACCGTACGTCGAGTTGACCTTGTCGACGATGCCACCGCTGGCGCTGCCGTCGGACGACGACTCAAAGAGCACTTTCAGGAGCTCCAAACTCCGCGTCGTGGCCACTTCTTGTTCTGCACTCAACTGCGCGCCGATCGTTTGCGCCGACACGCGGAGAACGTCAATGCATTCTTTGACAAATAGCCAGCGCTCCTTTTCGCCAGATGGACTTTGCAAACCTGTTTGAAACAATTCGACGACTTCCGAAGTGCTACAAGCATCTTTGGCCTGCGGGTCGGACGAGTTTTGAATTCGCCAAATCAAACGCAAGCACATGACCGTGACGGTGGTGTTGACCCGGTGGAGCACAGTGCGGTATGTCGCAGCCAACTTGTCGACAAACAGCGCAACGTCACTTAGCGCTGAGGCCGGTTGGCTGAGCAAAAACGACAAAAACGACGCTACTTGCGCGTCGTTCAAGTACACAAGCATCGACGTAACCACCAACGTGTGAATTTCCGTCACGAGCGATTCTTCCTTGCCGGTTGCCGAGGTCCATATATGCTGGAGGCGGTCGTCCGTGAGCTGTCCAGCTTCAGCCAAGAAGCGCAGCAACGACGCACTTCGCACGACAATTTCTCGATGCATGCGGTCACCGAAGATTTCATTCAGCAGTTTCTTCTCTTCGACAAATGCCAGGACGCGCTGATCCAAACGCGTGGGGTCGGCGGGTATACACTCGGCGGCTCGAATTGGAATCAACAGCGGACTCGGGCCAATGCCTTGGCCCGTCGGTACCCAATGCGACAACGGCGGAATGATCTCGTCCCCAGCAGATGGATGGTGGTAGTAGTCGATGTCTTGGTCTGTGCCGGGTTGGGCTTGATCTGCCTCAGACAGGAACCACATCTTGGACCCATTCTTCATCGTACAGCAAAACAACGTCATGGGGTGCGGCGTCACAGGGGAAGGATGATGGCGGTGCGAGGACACTGCATTGATTTCTTGTTTGATGTATGTTCCAGGCACGGGCAACGTGGACGACGGAGTGGCTGGTATGACCAATTTGTACACGCCATTCACAATGTCTGACCCTGCTCCCGTGACTTGATACGACACGGGCAGGGGCGTCGATCGCCGTGCAAGTTGGACGACGGAGCCCAACTGCTCAAACCCGAACAACCGTTGTGGCAACGAAGTGGATTCAATGAATCGTCCGATCACGTCCAAGACCGCGTCCTGCAGCGCCAGTGCATCGTCTTTGGTTTTTTCTAGCTCGATGAACCGCTGGATTAAGTGCAGCATGTGCCCAATTGAGTCGGTCGGCTCCTTCTTCAACTCAGCCGCCGGCAACACGAGCAGCAACGACAACACAGCTTGAAGCAGCCGATGGATACACATCGGGTCAACTTGGCCGCGAACATCGTATAGCCCTTGAAGGAGCAGCTTCAGGTCGTCCATGGGCACAGTCTGGAGAAACGCGACGCCCTTGTCGGCGTCGACAACGTACTGCTCGAGCGTTTGAGTCAACATGGAAAACCCATGGCCTTCATTGAAGAGGGCAAGGCACTGCATCCGGACTTCGGGACACCCCGAGGGCGACTTGTTCCAGTATTGTCCCATCATGTGGTGGGACACACTCGAGCCTCGGAATTCCTTGTAAAAGTGCTTTTGCTTGTTGAGAATCAACGCCATGTGCGATAAGTACGTGAGGCGACAAGACGGTGGCGATTGGGGGTTCTGGATTTGTGCCAGACAGAGAACTGTACCCTTGGTTAGCGTGCGGATGACACAATTCTTCTCGTTGACTGCCATCTTTGACGTCCTAGTCGTGCAGGAAGGTGAGATCCATGGGTGATTTGGCGACAGGGACAGTACATTTGATCGAGCATGATGTTGACAACTTGAGCAAAGCACAGTTGCAAGAACTCTTGCGTCTCAGGTTCGTGCAAGTGGGCATGAGCAATTTCGAACGAGTTCACGGCGTTGTGCCACCCGACAGTTGCCTGCTTTCGCAAATCTTCGTACACGATGCGTAGGAGTTGGCTCTGTTGAGGGTTCAACGGAAGTCCTGTTGCTGCATCCATGTGGGAGGTGGAGGGGTCTTGTAGGAGACGTCGGCGCTTGTCCGACTCGTTGAGTTGTGTCGTCGACGATGACTTGGGGACGTTGGAGGAAACAGACGATGAATCAGATGACGTGTCGGGTTCCATTCGTTTGTGACTGTTGCTTGGACTTGGTGTAGACGACGTCACGATGGAAATGGCACTGTCACGAGTGTTTTTCCTCGTGATGTCAACGGGAATGCAGCGCTCGAGTGTGCTCGACGCGGCGACTGCTGATTTCATACATCGTCACGCTCAGTTCTCTTGCACGTTTGTGGAGCATGAATTGCGCAGCATCATACCTGTATAGATAGAGATGTTCTTGACCGATCGAACACTCGTGGACAGCCCTTTCCGTGGAGAGAAGTGGCGGTCGATGCAGAAGCGGCGGTGGATTGCTCCCTCGTTACAACAGTCAAGATGCGATCACCAGCCGGGGACGTCAAATAAAATAAAATATGCACATTGCGTTATACAAACTCCAAGATAAATCCCACAAGGGCCACACACTTTCATCATTTTATTGTTGAAAGGGCATTGTTCTAAACGATGTCGTGCACTGTTTCAAACACAGAATCCATACTTTACTTCTATTGGTAAAGATTTTGTTTTAAACAGATGGAAGAGTGATGGTCTTTTCGCCCAAGTTCGCGATCTTCGCTCCACGGTCGGGCCGACCCTCAACGCGCCGAGACACCGCCATCGCCTTTCAGTGGGAAGCTTGGCGGGAATGGAGTTCTCGTACAACACGTCATGTTACGAGGCTTCCACTGTCATTAGCCGACAAATGACGGACCTATTGACGACATGGCGCGTTTCATTGACTGCATTCACTTGGCGAATCAACGCCACATCACGGCGATCGTAGCAATGCAACCGCTAGCTCCCCGCTGTCTTGTGTGGATAGCTATGAGCGCATGACACTGCGCAAATGCTTCACGAACGCCTTCGAGTTGGCGCGGTGGCCTGGTCCGTGCCCCAACCTTCGTCGAATTGAAAGAAAATGATTGGATGATGAAGAGTCGATTGGACCAATCCGAGGCGTCCATGGAGCGAATTGAAGGAAAATGGTTGGAGGAAGAGTCGTCGATTGGACCAATCCGGGGCTCCCATGGATGCAACCACACTCGACCGAAGAAGGTCGCCATGAACACTAGAGGCGTGGCAGCAGCGACCGACCCTGCAACAGAGTACGATGACACAACTGAAGACGGTCTCCACGACGGGGTTCCCTTGTTCGCGCCAGATGGTGGTCGCATTTCGACGGTATATCAGTCTCCCGCCAATGTGTCACCGACAAAAGCAATCTACATTGACCGGTTCTACGGCGACGGGTCATTCTTGAAATTGCTACAGGAAACGCTACAAAAGAACGCTGGCATGCTCAAGGACGGTTTAGTCAAGTTGGCGCTAACTCCTGTCGCAATAGCGTACCTGAACGATCGTTTACACACGACGTTGTGCCCCAAACGAGCGACGGTACAGTTGTTCGTCACGTCTCCCATAACTTTACAATTTAAGGACAACAGCGGGCGAATTGACGGATGGACAATCCGAGGAACAACAAACTCGCAATCGTTTCGCCGCGTACTGTCCCCACGGAAGAGCGACGCCTTCAACGACCCCGACGTCGCCCCCGTGGGGCACTTGGACGTCTTGAAGCTATCGACTCTACTGACGGAGATAACATGCATCAAAGTGACTGGAACCCCCGATCAAACGGTCGTTCATTTCAACATCTTTCCCCGCTTGAAGCGTATTGAGTTGCTTCGGACGTCTATGGTGGTGTTGGATCAACTGGCTTGCTTTACGATGCAGCTGGAGGTGTGTTCCGGTCGTGGCTTAGCACTGCATTTACCAAAGACATCGTGTGCTCTCGACCGCACGTAGGTTTTACACGTCACGGAATGCGTCATGCAATCGCCACTGGACGTGTTGCGCCACGGGGGGTCATGGTCGCGCTTGACGATGTTGAAGATTGTTCACTCGGACCTGCGAGAATGGTTCCCTGACGAAGTATGTTGCTCTCGCGATCGTTTCACTCAAGTTGCCGTGCTTGTTTGCAAGTTGTACAGCTCCCCTTAACCGATTTGGGCTAGATGCTTCGGGTGTCTGCGATACAACAGCTCGACCTCTCCAACAACCGGCTGGCCCAACTACACACACTTCCAGCCCGGTCCAATTTGCAGCGAGCTATCCTCAGCCACAACCGCCTCAAGCTATTATCGCTCCCAGAGCCGTATCCAAAGCTGACGTGGCTGGCGCTGGATCACAACGCTTTCGAGTCCCTGCGATCATTACCGTGGTCAAATCTCGTCATGCTCGAAGTATTGCGAGTTGTTTCGACCACCTCGTCACCCAACATGTTGTTGTAGCACCTGGATGTATCGTTCAACTGCTTGAACGACTTGGCCGACGTCAGTGTATTGAATCAACTTGAGCACTTGCGCACACTAAAGTTGATGGGGAATCCTATGGCGGCTGTTCCAGACTACCGCCGCCAAGTATGCTATTGTCTCTGCGCATCGTGTCGCATGACCACGGCCCTGATCTAGGTATTGTTTTACTTGGGAGATGTCGTTGAGCTCGATCAAGTTGCCTGGACGTGGACAGAACTCGACAGCATGCGGTTTTCACGCCACAACAAAGGTATTGTTCTCGCTGTGGGACGGTGACGGAACGAACTCGTGTCATTCCAGGCACGACTGGCCCACTGACATATCCGCTGCTTCCATCGAAACCAATGCAAATGCAAGCTCGCATGGTCCAAATTCAAGAGCCGCCGGCGCCCTACCTCTCGATGATTCGAAAACCCAGAGCTCACAGCGCAGCATTCAGCGAAGGCAGCATGGTCTCGAGCGTAGGTCGGACAAGTGTCGCCTCAGGTAATTCATGTCAATCCCTCGTGGAATCTTGACAAGGCGTGGCAGAATGTGAGGTGCCGATGTCACCAGCGTCGTCCAGGCAGCGGGCGTTGTCGTACCACGTCGATGAATTCCTTCGTGATTTGGCCGATGAAATGGACCCAGACGTCGACGACATGCCCGTGAGTTGCTCTGTAGTTGCTCGGCATGAAACTGTGACACACCTGTACTAGGTCGAGTTCGAACACGTGATGCCCCCGACAACACCCGGCATGATCGTCACGATCTTTTTGTCGATGGAGCAAGCAGACTCGCTTGACTTACCTCTGAGCCGCGAAGGGCTCACGGGGCTCGTCCACGTCACGGTATCTTGTATCGATGGCATGTACAACTGCCATGACTCCCGCATCGAAAGTAGCCGACCAAGTTAATGGAATACTTACCCGGCGGCGGCGTCATTCAGCGGCATCGGGCGCATCTGTTGTGCATGGCCGTCTTCACCACGAACGATGCGCACCACATGACGATTCAACTGGGCTTTCGCCATCGCCCCACCGTCGCGTACAAGGTAAGAGAATTTTCTGTCAGGGTGGTCGTTGTGCGGAAGAGCTGTCTACAGGTGTCGGACACAGCGACGGCGGTGAAATTGGTCCGAGCTATGCATGAAACCCTGGCGGACAAATCCAACTTGGTGGCGTTCAAGTGCAAAGCGTGTGGGGCGCTGGTAATATCGAGGGAGAGGCTGTCGAAAAGTAAGATGGACGTGCTGGTGGTCTTGGCCGTGCAACAGTGCTGGATCTGCAAGAGTTCGAACGGCCGGGAATACGCGGCCGAGACCATCCCCCAGTGCTATCTCGACCTGGGGCTTGATGTGGTGGATACTGCGCTGCCAACGACGCCATTTCTTGGCCCACATGCCAACAGAGGTGGGTTTGGTCGGAACGACGTGTGCGTGTGTGTGAACAGAGTTGTAGAGTTCTACATTGACGCAGAGTACGACGACGGCGGATTTGTCGGAGGTCGCGACGAGATCATTTGGGTCGTCACCGACACGTTTATGAAGGAAGTTAAGGTGGCAGCAAACGACGTAGCGCCAGAAGACGACAACGGTTCGACCGACGTGATGGCGGCGACGTACCGACGGTGGTGCGGAACATAGAACGTGCAGTGGCATCCATGAAACACGCTCAACCAGACACCCCTAATCGATCGAAATTCCTGGATTCATCGAGGGTTCCGTGCTTCATGCAGACATTCGTTGCGAGAGCATTGCTTTGTCATCTTCACAGCGAAAATCCTGGAGAAAAGAGGAAAACATTTATATTTCACATCACTGCGTAGGCACGGATTAGTGTCCAGTGTGGAAGAATGGAATTCGATCGTACGGGCATGTGCTTTGATGAGCAGCCCATGCATTGATGCAGTGAGCATGGTAGCTGTGTCCACATGGCAGGCGGCACAAAGAACGAACCTGCGATCGACTGGTGGGCGTCATCGCTTCAAGGCAAATGGCGCACTCTTGGGTGGCTTGAATGAAGCCCCGAACTTCTTCGGTGCTACTGATGGTTCGTGGTTGAATGTGGGTCATCATTCGCTTGATCTGTCGGGCATGACGGCGGGTACGGCGACGATAGAACGCTTCCAGAATCTGGTCTGCTGAACGATGGCTCGTGGTGATTGGGGGTGGCGGATGGGTTTGCGCTAGCTTACGCGGCCCAACGTCCCCAAGAAGCGTAGCAATGTGGTCATGTATCCGCTGCGGCGTGGAGCATGGCACCGTTGTCGTTGTTGGCGGTTGCATCTTTCCGATCGCCATAACAAGCCAGCACCAAGTGCAGAAAGTATACAACGCTTTCATTGGTCAATGACTTTTCTGCGATTGAATTGGTTAAAATTCGCCGCAGTTGGACATCGAAACGGATGCCAACGTTCGTTCGCAAATTCTACCTTGACCTCCGACGCGCCAAATCCTGTTGGTGTGCGAAGAAATCAATCCATATTCATGATGGACCCGTTGGCGCTGCGATCGCTCTTGGGAATATAATCATCGCTTGCGACAGCATCTTCCGTTGCAATGTTCTCTATGATGCTGTGGTCCCACGCGCAAAGACACCGTGTTTTCGTGCAAAATGAAGCGACATTATGGTAATTGTTCCTCATGTCATCACTAGCCAAGTCGAGGCATCAACGAGATACAAAGGTATGTTCTATGGCCCACGCAATGAGTGGATGGGGTGTTGGTCGATCCGTCCAAAAGGTGCAATGGTCGAACCTTTATGGCGGCATGGTGAGGTGGACTCCTCCTTCAGCCCACACCCATTGATGGCCTCGACCGCGACACCTTTTGGCGCGAACGGTGCTGCGCATACAAGCGTGGGAAGCGTGGGTTGCGTCCGTGGTGGTCAAGGCTTGAGTGGACGAAGTTTGACTGAACCATACATTTTGACCAATCAAATGCGAGAACGAATGGAAAACGACGGAGAATGATGGTAGTGAACATACCACTGTCGTAGAGAATGATTTTCGAACACGGCGAGGCGGCGATCGGTGGATCATGGATACGTGACCATTCTCACATTTGACACCTTCCCCGAAAACATCCATGGCGCATCCACACCAATCCACAGCGTTGCCGCGCCGATGTGTTGTCTGCAAAGGCATGGACGCAATCGTTTTGCTTGAGTCGTGCGGCCACGCATTCCACTCGCGGTGCATCTTCGACTGGCCGGTGCTCGCGTGCGAAGTGTGCCATACACCGAGCGACTCCATCGCGCTTGTTGGACGATGCCGATCAACCACGAACCCATCATCACCCACGTCGTCCAGCACTTCGTCGCCGATGAGCACTCGCCGCAACTGGGGCGATGCCGAGCATGAATACTGCTTGCTCCTCATGGAGCTGTTCAAGGAAGGATGCCTTCCGTTGAAGCAGGGCATGCACCTCCGCCAGACTCTCGCGATGCTCCTGAACTGCAACCCCATGCGCATCACGAAGAAGTTTAAACAACAGGACACCCTCGGCAAGCAAACGTATGTGTACCACCCGACGCCGAACGGCGCCAACTACAAGCGCCACGTCCAGCGTCAGAAGCAAATTACGACACTACGCGACGCGTTTTATTGGCAACTCAAGTTGCACAGCGGACAACCGATGGAAGCGATGCGTGAAGCGGAGACCGAATTTTGGATCAAACACCTGGTGGGGTTTGGTGCGATGATAGGGCAGGCGATGTCTTCTACAATCGTTGTCCCCTCTACGCCACCCACGCCAACCCCAATGCACTGGGAGCAGCAACCGCACGAGACCGCCATGGACGTCGGTAGCGCCATGACGATCGACTGCACAATTGGCCTGTACGAGCCATGCATGAGTCAAATGGAATGGGAGGTCGTCGAAGAATTGAAGGCTCAAGACGTGGACCCGTTGCCCTGGTCTGGACACAGTTTGCACGACGAGTTTGGCGACTCCAACGACATCACGATGGGGAGCTTTTTCATGGACAGAATCACGGTCGACGACTCGATCTGGCAGTGTTAGCATTCAGTATTTATTCCTTAAGCATATTTGTGTTCCTTTCAGCATACTGCATGAGTTGACCACGATCCAAGCTCACGCAGCCAGCCAGAAAACTTGTGGCCACGACGTTCGGGGAAAAGCTATGTCTCTTGGCGCTCGTGGGGTTCGTACAACGGATTACAGAATTGCACTTCACTCGCATGGACATCGCACTATCATACTCGCTCCCGACTGCGTCCAGTGGAACGAAAACGATTTCCACGTGCGGATTCCAGGCGAGAGGAAGGCCATGCATGCCTCACTCATGCAGCATCGAAATCTCTAGATTCGACCGCACAGCAGCGGCGACGAAGCCCAGGGTAGAAGTTTTGGTCTGGCATGTTTGGCTCGTCCAACAAGGCGTACGCGGCGCAGGGCCCCACCATCGGGACATTCGCGGCATGGGGAAAGAGGGCGTGACACCTCGGGTGCTTCTTCCTGCCATGGGCTGGGAAGGAGGTGAGATGCCCCTGCACCGAGGGAGGAGTAACCTCTACAGTGTACTCGGCGTATGCAGGCGCGACGGCATACAGATCAACGTGGGGCGGTGTGCCAGCCAAATCTTCCGTTTCAACTGCCTCGTGGTCAGATCAAACGCCCATGGCGAGCGGTCCAGCCGTGGTGGAGGCCAGCGGTGTGCCTCTATATATAGGCGATCTTGGGCGACATTTTATCATCGAGCCAGAAATCCATTTTCGCCCACTGGCTAGACATGCCATCCATCGACTGCGAGTCCAAGCACGCGGCCGACGATTTGGACAATGCGTCCGACTACACGAGCGACGACGGCAGCGACACCGACTCCAGGCATGGCGCACCGTACGGCCCGCGCCTGACATCTCGGCGCAACACAGGTAAAATCCATTTCTTGGCTGAGGCTGCAAGCGCCTCGTCATGCCATCCCGTCGACCGAATTCGTTGTGATCACCGTGCGTGCATGGTCGGTAGTCATGGCGACGCCGTTGCATCTGGAACGAGGATGGACGCCTCCGCAGTACCCAAAGAGCGCAAGCGACCGCGCCGACATCCGCCAAACCATTCGACACAACTGCCTCTTCGCCAACTTAGATGAACAAGCCATGTCCGTCATGATCGATGCCATGCAGCGGTTCCAGTTCAAGCGAGGTAAACCTCAACCGCATGGGCATCCCGACGAGGGCCAAGCGCACGAGATGGCTGAGGACCTCCCTAGGCGCGGTACTCATTCATCAAGGCGACGAAGGCGATCAATTCTTCGTGCTGGCGTCTGGGTCCGCTGATGTCTATATTGACGGCCACCGTGTCGGGGGATTGGAAGCCGACACGACGACCAACTTTTGCGGAGAGCTTGCCCTTCTCTACGACTCGCCACGAGCGGCCACAATCAAGGCAACCTCCGATATCGTTGCTTGGGGCCTCGATCGCGTCACGTTCAAGAAGGTACTGAAGGACGAGAACGAATGCTCCTCACGAGAGCGTGCGATGGCGAGATCAGGTGCTCATGGACACAACCATCAAGCAGCGAAAGCTCTACGAAGCGTTCATCGACGAAGTGCCCATCTTGTCCGAGCTGACCAAGTATGAGCGCCTGACACTTGTCGATGCCCTGCGACCAGTACGGCGATGAATACGCGTTTTCAATCTCTTCGACCGTGGCATCCTCACGAGTTGCTTCTCGCGGAACAGGTCTTCGTCGAAGAGGGTCAGTTGATCTTGGAGGAAGGCAGCCAGAGCAATGACTTTTACATCATTTCGGACGGCGAAGTCACATGCACCAAACGCGGCGAAGAGGTATGTGCAGCTGGAGATTGTAGATTCATTCTGGAGCACTCACGGTGCCGTCGATCATGAGGTGTCGAGGCGACTGGGCAGTGGCGATTACTTTGGTGAGATCGCACTCCTCAGCGACGAAGTTCGGCAGGCCACGGTAGTTTCGATGTCGTGCTGTGCCACCTTCATGCATGTGGATCGACATTAGGTGACGGCCGCGCGAGACACCACGGTCCTTGTTGTAGACCGCAGCACCTTCAAACGGCTCTTGGGTCCTCTCGAATCCAAACTGGCCAAGAACGTCGAGCTGTACGACCAATATGTCCGCCAGCGAAAGTAGAAGCATCCCATCTTCGCCACGTTAAGGAATGAGTCTCTTTGCTCACCGCCCACGCAACGTCATCAGTCCGCCGCACGTTCATCCGCTCGTAGCGCCGCCTTCGACGGACTTGCTCTACCATCGCTGGTGTGATTGCCACAACTCTTTTGAACGGAATGCAATCGTGTGCAGCCATTCCAAGGTGCTGCCGCTACACAACAACATTGACGCCTTTCATGTAAAGCCGACTCAACCTGATGTAGATCCCAGCACGCCATCGCTTTATCCGCACAACCAATGCATGGGAAGCGAACGCATGCTGTGGAATTCCATCCTGGATCGATGTTGGTTCACACAAGGTTGCATCGTCCTTGCAAACATTTTTCGACCCTTCCACGCTGTCGGTAGCGTTTGCATCGGGCACTCCAGCGTGTCGCGCGACGTGCGCTCGTATCGAGGATAATTTACATGTCGAGAGGGCTCAACTAGCTAGCGACAAGCAAATGCCGTCGCAGTTGGTGTCGACGTACGGGTAGTACTTTTTGTCGGGCACGTCTTCGAGGCAGATGCCCATGTCGAGACCATTCTTGGCAAACTGGATCGTCTTGGCTTGGCGGTTGTACACAATTGTAAGGATGTCACCGTCGGCAAATGTTTGGCCCCGCGGGGAGTCTTCAAAGAGGTGGCCGCGGCTCACTTCGCCAGAGCAAATGTTGTACGACACGACAGAGTCGACGTCGCCGTCCGGTTTGAACGCTTCCAGTCCAATGTACGTTTGCGGCATGACGTTGAGCGTGTTGCCGCGGTTCACGAGTTGGATAGATACACGATCCACTGGACGCTTTGCCTGAATGAATCCGCTTTCGTCGGCGATGGAGAGCGAGAAACTCACTGTCCGTTTGTCTTCCGATATCAATATCGTGCCGTCTGTGATGCCTAGCATGGCGGTGTCAGTAAAGCAAGCAAATGATGCAGTCGAAGTTGTTCCATGCGCCCAAGGATAGGTCCAAAACCTGCAACAGCGCTGCAAAGTGCGATGGGCGATCATGGTGATGGATGACGTACCCACAGAAGCACTAGCGTCCCATTCTAGAACTTCCAGGTTCAAATAGTCGAGAGTCTTCATGAGTCGTTGCTTCTTGAGGGGCGGGAGACCCTCGCAGCTCAAGTCGCCTTCGCGCAAGTACGTCATGACGTACTCGAACAAGGTGGGGTCGGCATCGATGAAATATGCATCTAATCATGACTGGTTGATGGGGGAATACCTCACAATATAGAGGAAGATGCACCATTGTCCAAGTCAGGTTTCCACTTGCTTTGTGAAAGCATCGCGTGGAAGTAACTTCCCTCGTATTTGAGCAGCGTGTCCTTTGGGAGAGCAAAGATGCGCCCGCCAACGTTGAGTTTGACAACCGAGTTAGACAGCTTTTCCATGGCTTCATGGACTCTCTGCTCGACAATGTCCCATTGTCGCTTCTTTTCCATCAACGCGTTCGCTTCTGCGTCAATCTGCGCAGCGGCGCGCTGAACATCCTCAAAGAATGCTTGGAGTTGCGCTGCGTGCTTGTCTGCGAGAATCTTGAGCTCGTTCTGTTGCGCTTCGCGGACCTGGTCCAAGTAACGCGCGTGTTGTTCTTTCATCTGGCGCTCCTCCTGTGCCTGTGTATCCTGGATGCACTTCAGCCGGGTACCGATGGAGCCCGACCCAATACTTGAACTTCCATGCATCTTCACTCGCGAGATATACTGTGTGTGAATGATGCAACATGACCTCGCTTGCGCTGATTGGTCAGACGGCATTGGAAACGCGAAATATCCGGATAATAATATCCGGAGACCCCTTTGCCTCTCTCCCATTGCGGATTTTTCGGCAACAACAGGTGCGACCACCATTGGACAGGTTAACGAATTGTAAAGTGGTTGATTTGGTGGCAATGAATGCTTGGAGTGCCTCACACATTTGCATCCATGGTGAAACTTCTGTGTGTATTTGTGTTGAAGTGTCGTGAAGCAATTACCCCAGTTGATTTGTTGCGATGTGATGACCATGTTTGAAGTTTGAAAAACTCCATACTGATCTCCCCCCCTAATCGAAACGGTCCACTTTATGCTATTTGTACAATCTATAAAACATTGGAGGTATAAACTATTGAAATACACAGCACAACCATTTGAATTTCAAACGTACTTCGAAATATAATATTATAATATTTCAAGTTATATTCACTTTGACCCGTTTCGTAATTGAGTTACATTATTAGGTTACAAAATGAAGTGGATTATTTATTCAAGGACTGTGTGGTCCAGCCGATGTCATTCGTTGCAACCATGGTTTGTCCGCGGCGGCTTCTATAAAAGCACTCTTTTTCTCACAGCTGTGGAGTCGCCCCCATGATGTCATGCGCGATGCCCCCCGATAATCTAGCGAAGTAAAGAGTCCGTGACACAGTATATTGTGTGTTCATTTGCGTCGTTGATAACGCAGAGCATATGCAGTATACGGTTAGTAGAATTAGACATCTTGTACTCGGGCGCTTTTCGAGTTCGATGTCGACACTTGGACATCCTTTCGCCTTGCAATGCCCGCTGCGCGCCAAGGCAGAAAATCCCGCAACATGGACGTAAAACGATTCTCTTAAATTTTTATTTGTCAATTTTTGTGAGAATATGGAGTTGTCTGGTTCTTGGATGGATGCAATCTTTGTAATATTTCGTCGTTCAGTATATGGTATGAAAACTTACGGAGTAAACTATAAGTTTGCGCTGTTTATATTGCACGCTCGTATGTGCAGTGGGCTCGTTAACATCCGACCAAATTCGTGCTAAGAGCACAAATACTTCTTTCTTTGTTTAATTGGTTCAAATAATCCTTTAGGTATTTTATATATATTGAATCAATACCATTTAAATTGAATGTCAACGAGATATGCCACAATAAAGTGTATTCTAATTGGTTGAATATTCTATGTATAGATAGAATGGCAAATGCGACAAATCAAACCGACAATCGATTGATTGGCTGAAATACACGATATCAATTGACTTGGTTACAGTTTGT